CCTGTGGGTCCTTCATCTTCCCGTGAGACTCCAGCTTCCACAAGAGGCCCTTCTCATCCTGGAGCTGGACACACCTGGCCCAAAGGCGGGAGAAGCCGCAGCAAAGGGCCACAGGGCTGGAGGAGCTGCTCTGCCACCCCTGGGAGCCGCAGATGAGTGACAGCAGGAGCGCAAGGGCAGCCATCTCCCAAGTGCAAGGAGCAGGAATGCTCCTTCCGTCCTGCCAGGGCGCTCACACACATCTTTACTGTGTCCCAGGTTAACTACGCATCTAAGGTGAAGTCAGACCACCATGGAGAAGACTGCCTATTTACTGAAGCCTGCCCAAACCTTAGAATTATTACATATGCCATAAATTTAGGTACTTACACATGCAATAAACTGTCCCACCCACATAGCAGGCAGCTCTGCAGAATGACATACTAGCACAGCGTCCTTACACTGCAGCAGTGATTCTTTGTGTCTCTTACTGACACGGTTGCCATGGCCTCCACTTTTTAAATCCCCTCGAGTGACAGGGCAAATGTTTTATTTCAGAGTGCCAAAACACTCAAAGCTGAAATCCACTGCCTAAATGGAGGAAAGGATTTCCAGATCTAGAAGATGTAGGACAGTTTGCTGACATACAACCTCAAATCTGAAAACAACATAGAAACAAAAAGGTGACCAAGGAAAGATCAAGAGATTCAAAACATGATTTGAAATTGGAATCAGTGGATGGAGCTGAACTTGAGGACTACAAGGCAAATAAAAATGTTTGGGAAGGGATTCAGATGAGCAAGATGCAACCCAGATATCAGATGGAGAGAGAGGAGGAGGAAGGAAGTATACCTAAACAGCCAGATCGCTTCTCCCATGAACTCTTTTCACACAAGTTAATAGGAGAAAAAATTTTTTTAGAAAACTGGTACATTAAAATAATGATTATCTTATGATCTCATTGAAAAGGGAATGAAAATGCTGTGTTCACTACAGAATCACTGTAAGTGAAGAGAGCATTGTCAGCGTCAGGATGGACTGACAAAGGACAGCAAGCTGGATATTAGAGTTTTAAAAATGTAATATCAGGGACCTCTCTTGTGGTCCAATGGCTAAGGCTTCATGCTCCTTGATTGGGGAACTAGATGCTATATGTGGTAACTGAGACCCAGTGCACCCTTAATAAGTACATAAATATTTTAAAAATCTAATATTAGATGTTGATGGGGTTTTAAAAGAAGAGTCAGGGTTGGATTAAGAATTAAAATCAAACAAGCTATTTTCCCTTTTGAGACTAGGAAGACCAAAGTAAAGCCTGGAGTGACTGACCCACTGGACTCAGGTGTGCTCAGGTGTGTTCAGGTATGAGGATGCTGACACCTTGGTAATACACCCTGAAGCAGAAGGAGAGGGTCTGACAGCTGACCCAGTGGTGGGCTGGCCTGTCTGCAGACTGCTGAGCACTTGACAGTAGACTGTTCCAACCACACTCTGAATTTGGAACTGGCTCCCTCTGATTTGATATTTAAAGAGGCCCTCCTAGCCAGCAGGATGTGGCAGAAGGGGTTCAGGAAGTAGTGACCCTGAGAGGTGAGTCGCACTGATTCTGGCAGTGATTCTCTGACATCTGCACCTAGGCTAGCAGCTGGGGAGTGTGGAAACCCAGAGGGCGCTTTCTGAAGGAGAAGATGGGCAAGCCCTGGGCAGAGGGTCAGGCAGGAAAGCAGAAAGCTAGGGCTCCACGCAGAGGCGGCATGGTGTTACAGTAAAAGCAATGAACACGCTTTGTCCTGTGGTTTCTGACTTCCTGTGGTGGGGTATTTTTAAATCCCATCCCCCACTTTTTTATTATGAAGTATTTCATATATTTAAAACAGTATATAGTATATCTACATGACTGATATTCTGCCAGTCCTCATCATTAGTGTGGCTTTTGATTTGTGGCCTGTGGTCTCCCCACCAGGTCCTGGTTAACGCCAGCAGCTATTCTGATTGTTTGCTGTCCGAATCAGGCCACTGTCTGGTTGCTAGCTATTTTGATTGTTACTCCAGCATATATCATGGAAAAAAAAAACTGTGTAAACATCAGCAGAGGAAACAGAATAACAAAACATTTCAGAAGCATTTTTAATGGGTAAAGCATTTGCACCATTAAAAATCCAGAAAGCGTGAAAAGGCTGCAATCTTATCTCTCAGCTACCTCACCTCCAGTGTGAATGGTTTCTTGTGTATACTTCTGCAGATTTTATGTATAAACAAAAAACTGGATAAATGTATTGCTTCATTTCTCACTGAGGGTAGTGTATAATACACAGTGCTCTGTTCCTTTTCTTCCAAACCTAACAGTTTATCCTGGAAATCTCTCCACTTCAGTGCATAAACAACTTTCTTTCTTTTTTTTTTCTAATTTCTATTGTAAAGAGCTGGGTAGGACTTCATGGTACAGTGGTGCTATAATCTCTATTGTAATTTATTTATTCTCCCAATGACGACATACAGGGCAATTTACTGGCTATTATAATGGATAACGTTGTACACACTCACTTCATAAATATACCAGTAAGGCAAATCCTAGAGGTGGAACTGCTGAGTTCAAGGGTATGTGCATAAGTGTTGTAATAACGTTTCACAGGAATGCAGATATAGCTGTAAAATAAAATCCCTGAGAGCAGAATTGCAGGATCAAAATGCATGGGTATTTAGATTGCAAGTATGTCTCACTTGGGGCTGTATAAGCAACATGCAAGTAATGGTGTAGTAACCAACTCCTGGCTCTGTTCCAACCTGGAAGCTGAAATCACTGTCTTAGGCAATTTTATTTTACATTTCCTTCATTATGACTGAGGTTGAGTATTTTTTAAATATATTTAGGAGCATTTGTATTTCCTTTTCTGTCAAGTTCCTGTTTATACTCTTTTCCTATTTTTCCTTGGGATTGGCAGTGTTTTGATTGACTTTCAGGAGCTCTTGACATGAGAGAAGTTAACCCTACGTGATAGAAAATGCAGTTTGTTTTTTTTCCAGTTTGGTCATTTGTCTTCTGACTTACATGGAGTTTTGCCATGTGGGGAGGTTTTTCTTTTTTGGCAGGGCAATATTACTTTTGTCAACTTCAGTTACTCCGAGGACTGCCCTAGTTCTGTGCTGACTCACTCAGCTGGGAAAAAAAAAAGAAAGAAAGAAAGAAAGTTATTTATGCACTGAAGTAACAAGGGCAGTGGTTTGTTTCAAGGCTACACAGCCTGGGGCAGGCGGTTCCTGAAAGGGGCCAGGAAGTAAATAATTTAGATCTCTGTTGCAACAATTCAGTCCTGCTGCTGCAGAGTGAAAGCCTCTATCTTCATAAATGAAATGAGCAAGGCTGTGTGCTAATAAAACTTTATTGGCAAAAGTATATGGCAGGCTGGATTTGGCCCTTGAGCCCTAGTTTGCTGACCCCTGGCATAGGGGCAGTTAAGGCGCCTTCCTCCTCCAGTCTGTGAATCCAACTGGCGCTACATTCAGTCTTCCCCTCCGAGTCCCTCCCTGGCAGAAAGATTACTTCACTCCCTTCTCTTGCCTCCTGATGCTCCAGCTGCTCAGCGGAGACTTACTCATTTCCCCAACCCGGAACCCAGACGTCAGCTCCCCAGGCAGCTGTGGACAGCCAGGCACCCAACCAACGAGCCGCTCCGCATAGACACACCCTTCAGTAACTGAGAAGGGAGCCTCCAGGACGATGGCAAATGCTATTGAGGAATTTCTCTCGGTGGGACTTTCCCTCCAGCATAGCCCACCCTCAGCCGCCTCGACCGCCTCACACAGGCGAGGCTTGCCCTCAGAAACGAGTTCTCCCATCTCTTCCATGCACAAGAAAACCTAATCATATACTGAATTGATAAGAAAAAGAGCATTAAGAAATCATACAGTTGTTTCAAGTGGCTACAGGAAAATCTTGCTTTGAAACTTAAGCTGCAATAGACTCTTCCTGGCTTTGGGTGGGACTCAGTCTTAAAGGAGGCCGCTTTGGAGGAAATGTGGTAACCTGGCTGGGTTCTCACCTTGTAAGAACTGAGGACCCTTGTGAGGGAGGGCTTTCCCGAGGAAGTAGCATTGAACTAAGCTAGAAAGGGTGGGGTGCGGGGAGGCAGAGGGGCATGGTGAAGGCATGGGGGGTGGTGAGGGGTCAAAGGCTAGTGTGGCCAGAGGCAAGAGCGGGAACAGCAGAGCCTTCCTCAAGGCTCTGCGTCTTAAACACAGCTGTGGATGGACCCCACTGTAGAGGAAAAGGGCACAGAACTCTGGGACTCGGGGGACTGTAGGGGTGAGGGAGGGCTTTCCTAAGGAAGTGGCGTTAAACTCAGCTCAGGAAAGATGGCAGTGGGCAACCAGGAAAGAGTGAAGTCATCAAATATGCATTTATAAAGATGCTGCTGGGGACTTCCCTGATGGTCCAGTGGTTGACTCCACATTCCCAATGTGCGGGTGGGGGGGAGCCCAGGTTTCATCCCTGGTGGGGGAACTAGATCCCACATACTGCAACTAAAGATCTCACATGCCACAACTAAAGATCCCGAATGCCACAACTAAGACCTGGTGCAGCCAAAGAAATAAATACAGAAACTATTTAAAAAATGAAGATGATGCCATCTGCCTTGTGGAAATGGATTAAAGGTTTGTTAAAGGTAGCAACCTGGAGCCTTTTGCTGTTGTTCAGGCAAGAGAGGCAGGGTAGGAGAGAGACAGAGGTGGATATGTTTGAGAGATACGGAGGCTGGAGACTAATGGGGGGTGGAGGGCAGGGAGAGGGGTCTCCACTGATGACCCCCGGGGCTCGAATGGTGCTCAGTGGCTGGCTCTTAAAGCAAGATCCTGGACCACTTCCAGACAGTGGGCGCCCTTACTCGGCATCTTCCACATGCTTGAATCTGGGGGTGGATCCCTAGGGTCCTTCAGGTTTAAAGTGACTGACTTCCACCCGAGCCTCCCGCAGAGCAAGCTGCAATCTGCTCACATCTTCCCTCTCATCTACACTTTTGTAGGCATCACCTGCCCGACTCCCACATCCGTGGAGCATGCAGACATCCGGGTCAAGAATTACAGCATCAACTCCAGGGAGCGGTATGTTTGTAATTCTGGCTTCAAGCGTAAAGCTGGGACCTCCAGCCTGACCCAGTGTGTGTTTAACGAGACCGCGAAAGTCGCCCACTGGACCACTCCCAACCTCAAGTGCATCAGTAAGTGGCTGTTCCAGCACTGTCCCTCCACCCCTTTTGCCACGGCCACGCAGAGAGCAGACCGCAGTACGGGCAGCTGATGAGGGAGCCTAGACGTCTGGGTTGAGGACTGAGGCTAAATAAACCAATGCGCTTCTAAACACACCTCAAAGAGGGGGAACTATGTGGGCTTTGGGGGTCACACAGTTCTGGGTTCAAATCCTGGCTCTGCCACATAACCATCCATGAGACCTTGGGCAAGGGCCTCAATGTCTTGGATCTCTTGGTTCCTCATCAAGAAAATGGGCCTGATTCATCAGGTCCTTTCAACATGGGGGCTTGTAGGAGGAGTAAACAAACTCTGGTAAATATTAACTATTATTACCATCAGTGCTTTAGATCACAGAAGCAAGAACTGGGCTACAGACAGAAATGTTTGTTCACAGCACCTTGCTCCCTGGCGGGCTGCCCGATTCCTCCCCAGGGGACAGCCCACAGGGAAATCACTGCCCTTCCTCCTGTTGGCACCTGCCTGAGAGAAGTGGAGAGACCCATGGAGCAGAGACCTCCTGGTCCAGACATCATCTGGGATCCAGCCGGAGCTCCAGACCAAGAATGAGGAGACATCTATGGAACTGCCCCACCTTCAAAGAGAAAAAAAATCCACAGCTGGATAACCATGCCAGGAGAAGTCAAAGAATCTTAGAGTGGAAGCCAGCAGTGTTATTTTCAGGAAGACTAAGCCCTGTACTCTAGAGAAGGAAGGAGCATAGCCTTCCAAGAGAAGGATGCGTTAAATAGTTACTGAACACATGGTGTGTGTCCAGGTGGGATACGATCTTACATAACATTTGTGGACAGTCTCAGCTGCTCTCCGGAGAAAGCAAACGGGATTGTTCAAGAGCAGATTCATGGCGGGGGGACTCCTTGAAAAGCCAGTCTTCCTGTTAAATCTGTAGTGTTGAGATCACCCTGTGCCCCTGGCCCGCCACCGCATGGCCACCGTGCAGGGCTCAGAGGCCAGGCAAGCCTTCTGCTTGTAGCAGAGGCATTGCTGGGCTGGGAACAGGGTGCCCACCGCATGGACCGTTGGGAGCATGGGAACGGGCTGGGTGAGGCCAGGTCTGAGCAGTGACTTTGGGGAGAGCACAGCTGTCTTCCTCAGTCTAGCCCAGGGACCCACTGAAACTGTAGCCCAGGGGCAAAGTTCAGGGCTTCCTACTGTAGAGAAAGTGGGCGTCTCCTCAATGTTCCAGTTCCTCTGGGTGAATGAATCAAGGATGTTGAACTGAACAGGGTGGGTTGCAGGGTGGGGCAGGGGGAATGAAAGATGGGGGTAAGCCTAGAATCATAGATGTTTAGAACTGAAGACTGGGGGAACCTTTAAGGCTTAGCCCCCAAAGCCCCACCTTTTACTACTAACCACTCCTTCCATGATCCCCAGCAACCTGTGCCAAAAACAATCCGTTGAGTAATCATTTGTTTTCTCATGGAAAAGCCAGCATTAAAAAGCTGAGTTGATATCATTGCTATCATTCTAGCCAAAGACAAGACACTTGCCGCTGAACTTGTGCAGTCTGTTTGCTCTGCGAACTGCGGACCAACAGCTGTTTATCTCGTGTGTGTCTGGCTAGGCCTGGGTGGCCAAATGTGTCCACTTTAAATTATAAACATATTGTTTATTTAAATTATACATTTATTATTATTATTCTTTTATCTACATCCAGTTCTAAAGCCACCCCAGGTTCCACCCTCCGGATCATAAATGCCGTGTGGTTATCCTCTCTCTAGGAGACCCCTCCCTGAGTCACCAAAGGCCACCCTCCACAGCAGCGCCGACAGGGTTGACCCCAGAGCCAGAGAGCCCCACCCCCTCCGGAAAAGGTAGGAATGCCGCAGACTCTCTCAGGACCCCCATTCCCAGCTGCCCTCAGGTCCACAGAGAGCCTGCAGATCCGTGGGCCACTGCCAGGGTTCCACCGCAAACACCGCTTATTCATGTCAAGGATAAGAGTTGACATTAGCTTCATTTTCTCTTTTCAACCGAAGTTGCCTGACAGCCAGGCTTCATGGGTGCACAATTCACAATGGTTTAAAATCCACTCTTACTAGGCCGAATCACACCTTGTTTCAGATGCATAGCTTCAAGAATGAGGGGGGTGGGGAACAGGGAGCTGAGGTTCTGCCCACCTTGCATATCAGCCTTCCTGGGCCTCATAGGCATTGGCAGAAAACCGGACCCTCCTGGATCAGAGATGGAGGACTCTCTTACTTGGCACTGCAGGCAGCAGGGCCACTGGCAGATTTCATCAAGTCCCTTGTCCCCACATGCCTTAAACAGGCCTAAGCCGGTGCCCGTGTGGGCAGCGGACATCCCTGGAGAGGAGGGAACCTGAGCAGGAGCCTGATGTTTTACTGTTGGTGTGAACACATCTGCCCTGTGCTCCAGGGGGCGGTACTGTCTCCACCTGCCAAGGCCATCTAAGCATCCTAGAAAAGATGGCGCCTCCGCTGGCAAGATGTGCAGAACCGGGAGCGGCCCAGGCACACCATCTCCCAACAAGCCTACCCATGGTTGTTTTGGTACAGACACTTGCACAAAGCTGCCAGGGTTCTGCATGTTGACCAAGTCTTAGGCAAACTCTACCCTAGTTTCCTTTGCTCTGTTAAGAAAATCTGAGCTCTTGGATACAAAATATCCTGGGAAGACGTGCCCTGTGTCTTCTGACATCCTCTCTTGACCCCTGATTCTCTGTGGCCCATTACCCAGTGTGAGGTTTTTATTTATTTTTTATTTATTTTGGCTGTGTTGGGTCTTTGTTGATGCTTAGGCTTTTCTCTAGCTGCGGCGAGCAAGGGCTATGCTAGAGTTGTGGTGCATGGGTTTCTCATTGCTGTGGCTTCTCTTGCTGTGGCAGCACAGGCTCCAGGCGCCCAGGCTTCAGAAGTTGCAGCTCGTGGATCAGGAGTTGTGGCTCGAGGGCTCTAGCATGCTGGCTCACTAGTTGTGGCATCTTGGTTTAGTTGCCCTGCAGCATGTGGGAGCTTCCTGGGCCGGGGATCAAACCTGCATCTCCTGCGTCGGCAGCAGGCTTCTTTACCACTGGGCCATCAGGGAAGCTTCAGTGCCAGGCTTCTCCTGGCCCCGTCTCCTCCTTTCCCTCCAGGCGCAGCCATCCCACGGTGGTTGACAGCGCTTCTCGGGCCACCTCCCTTGAGAGCCAGTTCTTAAGTGAGGATGCTCACTGAGATCTTCTGGAACTCGGTGGTCTGGGGAGTGCCTAGTTACTGGAGTTCCAGAAGCTCTCCTGGGACCCTCAGGGGGACACGGCTGAGAACCATCACTGAAGGAAAGGTGGCGGGGTGGAGTAAGGGTTTCCTCCCAGTTACTGAACTGATGACAAATGGAAGGAAGAGGCTGGGGTGCCCACAACCCCTTTGACCCAAGTCACAGCTGGCTCGAGGGACCTCCCTCAGCCTGGCCTTCATGCCCCAAGCATTTGGCAGATTTCAGCCGCGCAGGGAAATCTCCAGTGTGAGTGTAACCTCCAGGGTGGGTGCCGGGGCCAGGAGCACCTCATGGGCCTGCTCCGGGTCAGGGGGAGCATGGTCTGCAGAGCGCCTGGGTCCTACGAGGTGCTGACAGAGGGCGAAAGGGCATGATGACTCCTCTGGCGCACGTGCCTGGGAGAGCGTGGGGCAGAGGCCCTAACAGGGGGCTGGATAGCCCAGGATGTGTGATCACAGCTTCTGCTCCAGGGCTGGGCTCATCAGGACTGTATTATCACACTGGAAGACCCACTCACCACGGAAACAGAACAGCAGGGTTATGCCATTGCACCCTATGGGTTGCAGCAGCTGCTGGCCAGTGAGGGATGGGAGGTCAAGGACCTCAACACATGGCAGGCGGCTCAGCCTCCTCCCAGAGATGGGCGCCGAGCCAAGATGCATCTCTCAGGTCCACTCTCTAAAGGTCAGGTGGGCTGAATCCCAGGTTCCCCTTATTTCAAAAGTTTTGTGCCAGTATGTAAAAAGTAAACCAAAATTAGCATCCTGATGTCTTTGGCAAGTACAGTTCCACTTTTCTTAATTATTTTTGTTCATTTATTTTTTGGCTGCACTGGTTTTTTGTTGCGGTGCTCAGGCTTCTCACTGCCGGGGCTCCTCTTATTGCAGAGCATGGGCTCAGTGGTTGAGGCTGGTGGGCTCTGGAGCCCAGCCTCAGCAGTTGTGGTGCACTGGCTTCGTTGCTGCACAACATGAGGGATCTTCCCAGACCAGGGGTCGAACCCCCTCTTCACCGCATTGGCAGGTGGATACTTATCCAATGGACAACCAGGGAAATCCTCAGTTCCACTTGTTTGTCTGAACTGGGTTTCCTGGTAACCACTTCTCCAGTGCCTGATTCTACTCAGATCTTTGAGATCGTTAGCTTATGTGGCCCATGATAAATAGTCATAAATCCACTAGTGTCCGCAAAAGCCTCTTGGCCATTCGGAACGGACAAAGATGTTACCCACTCAAGGGCTCTTCCCCCAGAGCTGTGGAGGAGTTTCCCGGGAGAGGACTGGCTGGGGTGGGCTCACGGGAAAAGGTGTTGGTCCATTCTCTTCTGAAGCTGAGAAAAGACACTGTTCTCAATTTTTCACTGTCCATGTCTTGCACTCCCCTGCAGAGCCAGATCTTACTTCCAAGTCAGACACCAAAGTGGCCACAAGGCCAGCTACTGGACCAGGCTCCAGGTTGCCATCCACAGCCCCTCCTGTGGGAACCACAGGGGTAGTCAGTAAAGAGACCACCTACGTCCCAGCTCAGACAGCAGCCAAGGCTCCGGAACACACACACCCAGCCTTGCAGGACACGCCCGGTTAGTGCTGGCTTCGCCTGCTGGAGGAGAGCGCAACTCCCAGGGGCTGCTTCTGAGACGCGGACGCAGATCCAGAGTAGGCCGATCCCATCACACCATCCAATCCAAAATCGGGACGACTATGTGACCCTCTGCCTCCTGCTCTCTGCCACAGCCTTCTCCCTCCAGCCTGTGTTCTATGCTCACCCTGCTTCAGTCGGAAGAGAACTATCTCCCCCCATATTAAGCTGCATGGCAAAGCCTTTGCTGCGAATCTGATTAAGATCTGCCTCCTCCTGACATGGGAGGAGGAAGCTTTCTGCCGTCTGGAATCATGGTGTGAGGGATGGGGGCACGCTCGCTGGGTAATCTGCATGTTCTGTAAATGCGCCTCTGATTCCTAAGCATGGCTCAGCATGGAAACAAATGATCCTGGTTCGGTGCTAAAGTGAGCCTGATTTTGCCGGTTGTGAATCTCTCAGGGCTTTAAGATGAGAGCCAAACCGTCCAGGAGTTCTCCTGCTTAGAGAAATGAGTGCCTTCAGGACCAGGGCACTGACTGAGCTGTACTCTCTTCCCTGCAGGTGCATATCAGCACAATCCCAGAGCTGTGACCGGTGAGTATTCTCCTTGGTCCTTTGTAATTATATTTCATCTGCATCAAGTGGTGGTGTCTGTGTTCAGGGGATCTCAGTGCCGGGGTGCTGGTTGGTCCTGACTTACGCCTGCTGGTCCAGCGTGGCCACCAACAGCTGCCCCTTTCACTCTCAGAAGGGTCTCCGTGTAGATGAGTCACATGACTGCGCTGTTTAGTGTTTGCAGAATTCTAAGTTGGCTATTTATCTTAATGTTGGTAGGTTCTCACTGTCAGGCGATTGGTACAGAAGCCAGGGTTGGTGCATCCCAGGGCCCCCTCGTGCAGCTCTTCAGGCTGACTAAGTGGGGGCTAGACTGTCATTCAGGACCCACTGGAAAACCAGTTAACATCATTAAATGATTTTCTGCCACGAGACGCATTTATCTTTCACAGGGAGTTAACACTATATACTCAACAGTGAGAACTTCGTGTTCTTGGTATAAAAGGCATCTTTACAGAAGACACATGACTTTAAGGCTGGGAGAGAGAGAAAGTCCCAGAGAGTATAGGAGGAAAATGGAAAAGTGCTTGCAAGAATGAAAGAAAAAGAGTAAGGGAAGCGAGAGAGAAAAAAGGAGAGGGGAGGAAACAAACCGGGAGAAATGCAAGGAAACAGAAGCAGGGAGAAATGCAAGTTTTCAATGAGGAAAAAAAAAACACTATAATTTCAAAGCAGGCAAAAATTAATTTCTAATTTCTATTCATACATTTCCCAGCTAGAGAATGATTCAAGTTTTTGTAGTCATATTTGATCTGCATCAATTGTATTCTGGGAAAAAACCAAGTGGCTTTGGTCGTTTCTGCATTTAGTTGATTAGAATGGTTTTAAGAATGATCAAAACATATGCCAATGCAAGATATTTTTAAAAGGCTCTCTGGAGAGTGTTTTCATGGAAAAACTGTGGCATTTAATGACAACGACGTTGAAACAAAAGTATGTTTATCATTTAAGAGGTGGCCAATAAATAAGAGAGCTGACCAAATTTTTCTCCTTGTGTCATGTATTACATTAATGTTTCTATAGACGTCTACATTTTTTTAGTCATTTTCTTGAACTGTTAATATTTTCCCAGGGCTTAACAATTAAAAGTTACAAAAGGCTGTATGGTAAAAAGCCCATCTCTGACTGAAAGTCCCCTTGCAGGCAGGCAGGAACTCCTGCTACCAGATTTCAGGGCATCCTTCAGAGAGTCAATCTGTAAATAGCATGTAGAAGATACATGATATAGTTAAGCATACTATTTTCACTATCCTGCACCTTGTCTTCACCTAATGGTATATCTTGGAAATTTTTTCATATCAATAGATAGAAAAACCACCTCATTCTTTCCAACAGCTCAGGATATTCTATTATATGGATTTGCCACAATTTATCTAGCCAAAACCCCTACTGGGCCTTGGGGTTCCTTACATTCTTGGGCTACATAACAAAGGAGGACTAATCGGAAAACCTTGTATCACTTTGCATATGTGCAAGTATGGTGGTGGTGCTGGTTTAGTCACTAAGCCACGTCTGACTTTTGTGACCCCATGGACAGTAGCCCACCAGGCTCCTCTGTCCATGAGATTTCCCAGGCAAGAATACTGGACTGGTTTGCCATTTCCTCCTCCGCAGGATCTTCCCAACCCAGGGACTGAACCCCCAGTCTCTTGCATCTCCTGCATTGGCAGGTGGCGTCTTTACCACTGAGCCACCTGGGAGTCCATGTACAAATATAACTGAAAGAAAAAATCCTACAAAATTTCAGGGCCATTTTTTTCCAATGTGGATTTCCAAACCATTTTATTATGAGAACTAATCTGTACTTTTTTCCAGTTTATGACTTTCACTAGATTAAAAGACACTTACTCCTTGGAAGGAAAGTTATGACCAACCTAGACAGCATATTAAAAAGCAGAGACATTACTTTGTCAACAAAGGTCTGTCTAGTCAAGGCTATGGTTTTTCCAGTGGTCATGTATGGATGTGAGAGTTGGACTGTAAAGAAAGCTGAGCACCAAAGAATTGATGCTTTTGAACTGTGGTGTTGGAGAAGACTCTTGAGAGTCTCTTGGACTTCAACCAGTCCATCCTAAAGGAGATCAGTCCTGGGTGTTCATTGGAAGGACTGATGTTGAAGCTGAAACTCCAATACTTTGGCCACCTGATGCGAAAAGCTGACTCATTTGAAAAGACCCTGATGCTGGGAAAGATTGAGGGCAGGAGGAGAAGGGGACGACAGAGGATGAGATGGTTGGATGGCATCACCGACTCGATGGACATGGGTTTGGGTAGACTCCGGCAGTTGGTGATGGACAGGGAGGCCTGGCATGCTGCGGTTCATGGGGTTGCAAAGAGTCAGACATGACCGAGCGACTGAACTGAACTGAACTGGATTAAAATATCAAAAATTCTCTCCTTTATTCTAAAATGCCAGATAATAAACATGAACTGAACACCTACAATAGACAAAGATAGTTCTGTGCAAGGAACTGTGGAAATACAGAGATTTAAAAAACTTTAAATCTTTTATGTGGCATGAATAAGATTTCTTTCTTCCAGACTGCTTAGTGTAAACATGTTAACACTAACTCTAAGACAGGCCAAGTCAGCAAAGACATGAAAATAAGATCCATTTAAGTTTTATCAGCTAAGGAGACAGGAGTTAAAACTAAAACCCTGCTAGGGTTGTCTAGAAACACTTAGTGATGGACAGTTTCTCCAAAGTATGTCTGTTACACACAATCCCAGCCACCTGGGAGCTAGGAGTGTGTCACGCTGGGTACAAGAGGCAGAGGCTCTCATGACACCTCAGGCATTGGTAGGGGCTCCTATTTCTGCAGGAATAAGCCGCTGATTGATCGTCCTTGGAAGATGATATAAATAATGCTTTCCCATAGCAGTTGCTCAGCAGATACTAATGTAATGTTTAAATCAGTCCACTGGTATTACCAATATCAGTTCTAAAATAAATTATGTAAGTGATTATCATGACTTTTATGTATTTAAAGATTTTTTTTTTATGTGGACCGTTTTTAAAGTCTTTATTGAATTTGTTACAATATTGCTTCTGTTTTATGTTTTGGGTTTTTGGCCCCCAGGTATGTGGGGTCTTAGTCCCCCAACCAGTGATTGAACCTGCACCCCTTGTACTGGAAGAGGAAGTCTTAACCCCTGGACTGCCAGGGAAGTCTCTTTCACAACTTTTAAAAAGTGGCTCTTTTAGTGCAGCAAATGGTAAATAGTAGATGTTGCATAAGTGAGTGAGAAAATACTCATTGGAGTTTAAGAGCTCTAACATTATAATACATATTGAGGGAAATGGTCCTCATTTCACTGTCTTCTGTATCTATGCACTCACTTGGCAGCTTTTCTTTTTTTAAATCAATAACCTTATTCAATTATTCAAATGTCTTGTCTCTGCTCCTTACCTAGGCTATTTTTGAAGATTCCTGGTTGTGAAATAAAAAGATAGAATGTCAGCTATGCCAGCGTTTACACTGCCATGTCCATTTAGTACACCCGAGGGGAAGAGTTCATCTTTCAGACTATATTATACCTTCATCTTTCAGAGCAGAAGTACATCTGCTGTAGTTTACATGCTCAGCCTTTAAAGGGAGCTACCTCTATATCATATCATTTGTCTGTTCAAATGATACAAATTGAGCTCCTATCCTGTGCCAGACGTGGTCCTAAGCTGCAACAACATACAGATTTCTCATTAAAAAGCAAATGGCACTTTACATGTCCTTCAGCTGCAGTTCAGTTCAGTCGCTCAGTTGTGTCCAACTCTTTGTGACCCCATGGACTGCAGCATGCCAAGCTTCCTTGTCCTTCACTATCTCCCAGAGATTGCTCAAATTCATGTCCATTGAATCGGTGATGCTATCCAACCATCTCATCCTCTGTCGTCCCCTTCTCCTCCAACCTTCAACCTTTCCCAATATCAGGGTCTTTTCCAATGAGTTGACTCTTCTCATTAGGTGGCCAAAGTACTGGAGCTTCAGCTTCAACATCAATTCTTCCAATGAATACTCAGGGTTGATTCCCTTTAGAATTGACTGGTTTGATCTCCTTACAATCCAAAGGACTCTGAAGAGTCTTCTCCAACACCACAGTTCAAAAGCATCAATTCTTCAGTGCTCAGCTTTTTTATGGTCCACACATCCACACATGACTACTGGAAAAACCATAGCTTTGACTAGACAGACGTTTGTCAGCAAACTGATATCTCTGCTTTTCAATATGCTGTCTAGGTTGGTCATAACTTTTCTTCCAAGGAGCAACACTTTTTAATTTCGTAGCTGCAGTTACCATCCACAGTAATTGTCAGGCCCAAGAAAATAAAGTCTGTCACTGTTTCCATTTTTTCCCCATCTATTTGCCACGAAGGTATGGGACCAGATGCCATGATCTTAGTTTTTGGAATGTTGAGTTTTAAGTAAGCCTTTTCACTTTCCTCTTTCACCTTCATCAAGAAGCTCTTTGGTTCCTCTTCACTTTCTGCCATAAGGGTAGTGCTATCTGCATATCTGAGGTTATTGATATTTCTCCCGGCAATCTTGATTCCAGCTTGTGCTTCATCCAGCCTAGCATTTCGCATGATGTACGCAGCATATAAGTTAAATAAGCAGGGTGACAATATACAGCCTTGATGTGCTCCTTTTCCTATTTGGAACCAGTCTGTTGTTCCATGTCTGGTTCTAACTGTTGCATCTGGACCTGCATATAGGTTTCTCAGGAGGCAGGTAAGGTGGTCTGGTATTTCCATCTCTTGAAGAATTTTTCACAGTTTGTTGTGATCCACATGGTCAAAGGCTTTGGCATAGTCAATGAAGCAGAAATAGATGTTATTCTGAAATTCTCTTGCTTTTTCTATGGTCCAGTGGATGCTGGCAATCAGAACTCTGGTTCCTCTGCCTTTTCTAAATCCAACTTGTACATCTGGAAGTTCTCGGTTCATGTACTGCTGAAACCCAGCTTGCAGGATTTTGAGCATTACCTTGCTAGCATGTGAAATGAGTGCAATTGTGCAGTAGCTTGAACATTCTTTGAGCATTGCCCTTCTTTGGGATTGGAATGAAAACTGACCTTTTCCAGTTCTTTAGCTTGCAGAAGATTAATGGTTTAATTCCATCAATTAAGTATTTATTGATTACCCACTCTGAACCCAGCATTTCCTATGTGCTCAGTACAGAAAGACACAAAAGAGAAACCATTGCCAGGGAATAAGGAGTTGATATTCTCATTTCAGAACTGCCTTCAGCCAATGCAGGCACACAGCATATCAGATACCCTACCCTCTGACTGAGCTAATTTGCAGGGAATGCCAAGAAATGATGATTTCCTGGATCTGCACAGATAACACTTTTTAAAAACTGAAGTATAGTTGATTTACAACATTACGTTAGTTTCAGGTGTGCAGTATTTTTGCAGATTATACTCCATTCATGCTATTACAAGATAATTGTAAGTCCTTCTGCTGTACAGTATATCCTTATTGCTCATCCACTTTATGTATGGGGGTTTATATCTGCTAATCCCCTATCTCTAATTTGCCCCTCTCCCTTCCGTCTTTCCTTCAGGAACCACAGGTTCGTTTTCTCTGTGTCTGTTCCTGTTTTACATATACATTCATTTGTATTGTTTGTTAGATTCCACATATAAGTGATATCATACAGTATTTCTCTTTCTCTGACCTATTTCACTGAGCATAATATACTCTAGGCCCATCCACACTGCTGCAAATGATAGAATTTCATTCTTTTTAATGGCTGAGCAATATTACATTGTACGTAAACACCACCTCTTTATCCATTCATCCCTTCATGGACAATGGGTTGTTTCCATGTCTTGACTTGGAAGATGGTACTGCTATGAACACTGGGGTGCACATATCTTTTCGAATTAGTATTACCTGTAGACTTGTTGATGGTGGCCATTCTGACTGGCATGAGGTGGTACCTCACTATGGTTACAGAGGACTCCTTCACCCACACGGAACACAGTCCACCAGCCACCTCGGCTGCCTTCTCCACTGTAGACCCAACATCACCATAGGCTGAAGGCAAGGCAGGGGCTCCTGGCCCTTCTGGTCTCCTGTGCAATAATCTTTCTTCTCCTTCCTCTCTCAAGCTAATCCTCCTCCCTTCTCTGTCTCATCAAATCTCTTTTCCTTTTTCTCCAACCCATGCACCCTGCTAGGAAACACAAAAGGGTGGAAACCATGATAGTCAATGCATTAATCCATTCTTTTGGCGATTCTGGTTTCAATTTCTTCACTAAATTTGGTGATTCTTGCTTCAATTTCTTTACTACATTTGCCTGGAAATAACTGGGGAAGGAACCAAGTGTCTGAGTTCCAGGGGCTGAATTTAAATTGCTTTGTTATATCATTGGCTCAGGACCGCTCTTTGCCCTTGAGTCTGAGTCGGAGCTTCTATTCTCAGTAAGAAACAGGAAGCAGCGTTGTGAAAGTGGAACTAGAGTGAACATCAGCTTGCCTTTTCCAATAAATCTCTCCGTGAACAGTAAATGCATGCCAACCTGATTAGTCAATGTGAAGGAATAGTTTCCTGGAGGGTACAACATCTCTGCTAAGAAATTTGTCTTTTAGTCATAATGATGATTAATGTTAAATCTAGAAACTCAAGAACAACGTTCACTAATTTCTCATGTTTTCTCTTACCTCTTTTGGAATAGCTTTTCTAAGTTTTTCTAAGTTTTATTTACTTAGGTAAATAAAAGTAGTCTTGTTTTTGTAAATTTAGTGTCTCTTCTGATTACAGCGTCACTGCAAAAAGATCGGGGTGGGGGGATGGAAACTTTTTAAAAAAGAAAATAAAGTTATCTACAAGCCCAAAGAATTACTTAATACTTTGCATGTATTCTTCAAGACTATTTTGTGTATATGGACACACACATGGCTTACTGGAAATTCTTTTATTCATTTTTATCTCAACCAGCTTTTTCACTTAAGACTTTGTAGACATCTTTCTGTGTTAACAAATGTAGATTTCAAAGTTTTGAAAAGCTGAATAATACTCCATTGTACGGGTATGCCACATTTCATTTAACTGTCTACTGATAAGAGATTTAGATTAACCTTTTAAAATTTATTTTAAACAATGCTTTAGTGACTACTCCTGTGTATACATTCCCATTTTCTTAGAATACATTTCTAGAAGTGAAATTAGAGTCAAAACGAATGGTCTTCTCTCAAGTTTCCGTTACATGTTGCCAGTTTCCTCTCCTATCCTGCAGAAATCTGGGTATGTTTCCTCATCTTATCTCTAGCTGTTTCTGAGGACAGTTCTAGTTTAAGGCCAAGTCCTTGCACACACGAGTGTGGCTGTCTGTCTAGGCGCAGGTCTGAAAAGCTCAAGGCTCCAGGTGATCAATATGCCTCCTGGGCCACAGTGAGACTCCTGGGTCCGCAGTTGTTCAGGTTGTCATCTTAAAATTTTTTAAATTTAGTTTATTTTTGGCTGTGATGTGTCTTCATTCCTGTGTGGACCTTTCTCTAGTTGCAGTGCTCTGGCTTCTCGTTGCAGTGGCTTTCCGCCTCATGGAGCATGGGCTCTCGGGCCTGAGGGCTTCAGTAGCTGTGACTATTGAGCTCTAGAGCACAGGCTCAGTAGTTGTGATACTTGGGCCCAGGTGCTCCGCAGCAAGTGGGATGTTCCCAGACCAAGGATCAAACCCATGTCTTCTGCATTAGCAAGTGAATTCTTTACCTCTGAGTCACCAGGGAAGCCCCAGGTTGTCATCTTAGACGCAGGGCACGTTGGTGATTTTTGCAGGGAGATTTCACAATATTAAGGCAAACTGGCCAAATCTGCTGGGAGCTTCTGACTGATACAAGTGTTTTAAAAATAGTACTGTTTCACCTGCCCCTGGGCCCAGCCCTCTTGCTTCCACATGAAGGTCCCACCCTCCCTAACAACTCCCGAACCACCACTGTGGCTGTGTTGGCGGGAAAGGAGGGTCCTCTCTGCCCTGATGTAGAACAGACAGAACAGCGTGGATCTCAGGATCTGTTAGTAACTGTGAGCTGGTTGGGAAGACATCTGGATCTCTCTGCAGAAGTGTAAACTGTACAGGACTTTCAGGCTCGGGAACGCTGGGACTTTGAGCAGGATGCCAGCTCATTCTGCTCTCTTTCCAGCAGCCGTCTCCATACCTGTCACCGTGCTCTTTGTAGCGTGCCTGCTGTTTCTTCTGGTACGTTGCCGCCTGAGGTCAAGGTGAGTAGCACAGGAGACCCACGCTGGACAACATGCTTCCTCCCCCAACAGCAGGGCTGCATCTGATGACCCAGGTCTGCCCTTGCCAAGGAAGACCCTGTCCTGGCTGGAGGTGTGGGTGCTCCCACCCACTCTGTACTGGGCAAAAGGTGTGTCCAGGCCAAGTGGTCACTGAGTCAGGCCTGTTCCCTTCACTGTCCAAAGGCAGCCTGCAGGTCATGGTCAGAATCCGGGCAGCCAGAAATCAATGGACGGCATGGGGCCAATTCACCAAAAGCCAATTCAGAAGAAAAGAATGTGCCAAGTAACCAATTTGATGGACGTGAAATTTGTATGATATATTTACTGATTGTTCTTCTTGAATGTACTTGTTAAATACGGACACACGTCCCCGTAAATAGGCTCATACGTGTTGGCCTTGGCATTTCTAATACTAGGAATTCTATATTTCAGCATTGCTGGCAAGACTATTTCTGCCACTTGCTGAAATTTCAGCTTTTATTTTTCTAATCTTTAGGCATTTTTACCATTCCTTCATAAAAGCCTCAAATAGCATATTAGCCTTGACTCTGTACTTCCATCAGCTGATAGCCAGTATTTTACCATTCCATAGTGATATGGCTGTTCCAGACATATCAGGTGTGTTGAAACTAAACTTTTAATCACTAGTCACAAAAATTTCTTCCTAAATATTTTATCAATATAAAGATTATACCATTCTTCGAGCCTAACTTTGACAAAATGGATATTCCATGAAATGGCACTGCAAAGCCAAAATGGAAAACAGCCATCAAAATATTCACACACATCTTCAAAAGTTATTAATATCACCCTAACCAAAAAGAAATGCCATAAACTTCATAGTCTAGAAATCAAGAAAAGAAGGCTGATATTTTACTTAAAAATTCATCAAAAAATCCCCCTAAATGCTAAAATATTTGCGAAATAGAAAATTACTTTAAAAAGGATTTTAAGAATACCATTACAGTTAAATAATTTCTACATAAAATGCATTTAGAATTATTCTTAGGAGATGTAATTAGAATATATTCATTGATGATATTAAAAAAGAATAAATACACAATCTTTTTAAAGAAGACATTAAAAATATATTCTTAAAAAGAATTTGTAAATTTGATAAGTATGGCCAATAAATATGCTCCTAAAAGGAATACATCAGTATTCACTGACTGTATTTATGGTAGTGCTCATGAATGTATCTTTAAGAACCGGTAAACATGATGAACATTGCTACTTGGCCATGTGGTGAGCTGATTCTTTCTGTAAGCTGATTAATTTGCAAATGGGTTATTAGGTAGATTAGTGATTCAACAAATTGGGTTTTAGAAAATTGTTTTTGTAAACTGGCCTAGAGTTCTGATTTATAGTTTAGGCCTCGCTCCAAGGAGCTCAGGTGTTGACTCTACAATGTCCTGAAAATTGCTTCTTCTCAGGGGGCAGACTGTGTAATCCACAGGTCCGCATACTCAGGACCTAAAACACACATCCAGTGACAGGTGGGGAGGCGTGGGATTAAGACTCTCTGCATCCCCTACTCCTGGCTTCTCAAGGACTGATTAACCTGATATTTGTTTATGTATTTAACACTTACTAAATAAATGTCAGGGCTTCCCTGGTGGCTCAGATGGTAAAGTCTCTGCGTACAACGCGGGAGACCTCGGTTCAATCCCTGGGTCAGGAAGACCCCCTGGAGAAGGAACTGGCAACCCACTCCAGTACCCTTGCCTGGAAAGTCCAATGGACAGCGGAGCCCTGTAGGCTGCAGCCTGTGGGGTCGCAGAGAGTCGGACATGACTGAGTGAGCTTTATAACTCATTAGTTTTAAACATTAGTTATAAACATTAGTTTTATCAGGACTGTCAGTCTGGCTTGGCCAGGCTCCTCATCACTCACTCCTCCCATGGCACCTGGCACTGGAACCACTGCCTTTTGGCAGGGGGTTGGCAAGGTGGGGGGAGCTGCCCCCACAGTGCTGGTAAAACTCAGTGGACAAAGGGGTGAAAGCCAAAATAAGATCTAAGGACCACCTGTGAGTGGAGGTAGTCCAGGTAGTCTCCATCAGAGTGTCCGAAAGGAACTGTTTGTTGACACAATCTCTCCTTTGGCAATTATCCCGCTTTCTAGGCAAGCCCACCAGACACCCGGTGTTGAGATGGAGAGCATGGAGAGTGTGCCGATGACCACGGGGGCGGATGCCAGAGGGGAGGACACGGAAATCCACCTGCATGGCCTAGGAGGCTCCGGGGACGCTGAGGCCACCAGAGGCCGCAGTGAAGGCCCAGCTCTTCTCCAGCCAGAGGGGACCTAGGGAAGACTTGGGGCGCTGGCCCCAGGGGGTAGCCCCGAGGGTGAGGAAACATCCACACATCATTTTACCGACTGCCCAGCTCAAGCACCACCCTTACCAGTGGGTTCTCTGGGCTCAGGACAGATGCCCGCTGTCTGCCTGCCTTGCCTGCCCGCCCTGGGCGTAAGGCCCAGTTCTCAAAGTCCCAGCCGTCAACGGTTACCCGGGAGGGAGTGAAGCCCTCAGGGTTTCCTATCAGGGCTTTTATTTCATCGTGACATTTATTCAGGACAGCTTGTCCACTCGATTCAACCCCATTCCTCATCCTGATCTGCAGGTTACAAAGAAAAGAAACACACCCGAGGCTCCACGTGAACTAAAAGACTCCTCCCAGATTGGGAGGTGTTAACAAGGATGACACCAGCATTTCAGCTTGTAAAACCTTCTCTCGGCCAGGTGCTCTGCGTGCATGGAAAAGGAGCAGAGACAGACTGTGCCTCGTGGATCCTCTAGATTTAAGGATTCAGAAAGAAGAAAACTTAACTTGCTGATGTTTTTCTATATATGTGCATTTATATTTATATCCGTCTTTTATATCTGCATATTATAAGATTTGTATTTTGAAATTGTTACTTGTACAAACAATATAAAATGTCTATTTTCTATATATATATATATATATAAAGATTGCACTGAAAGAATCACTGATGAGAAATGTACCACAAAGAAGAAAAGGAGATCAGGAATGCAGAGTCCCACATGACTGAGGTCAGCTTTTCTCTCTGAAAGGAGGAAAAAAGCCTTGCCGGCAGCCGAGTCAGGAGGTGGCTTTGGAGAATTTCTGGTAGCGTTTCCACGTGAGAAGCACGTGCGTGTCTGCTGCACACGCTGTCCCTCTGTTGTTTTCTTTCTTTCTTTGATGTTTATGTTTGTTTATGAAATCATGGGCCTTGTCCCAGCTCTTCATTTTACAGATGGGAAAACTGAGACCTAGAGAAGTGACTTGCCCATTTACTCATGCAGAGTCTGCACAGAGTCGGGATGGGGGCAGGTACAGGGGCGGGACTGTAAACCAGGTGTCAGCTGCCCCATCACACGGCCAGGGTAGCCGGGAGGGGAGGTGGAATGTGGGCAGAGCAACCAGTTCACCTGCTTCGGGGGCTCTCAGAGTGCTCTTTCTTGTGAATTTCTTCAGGTCATGAATTTAGATGCCTTCATCAGGGCCGGTGCATTGGGATGACCCTGAGAGATGGGATGGGGAGGGAAGTGGGAGGGGGTTTCAGGATGGGGAACACACGTACATCCAAGGCTGATTCAGGTCAATATATGGCAAAAACCACTACAATATTGTAAAGTAATTAGCCTCCAATTAAAATAAATTAATTAATTTTTAAAAAAGAGTGAAGGAAGAAAGAGTAGGAATTCTGAATAGCTGGTGTTGGAGATTTCAGAGATGTACCATTTTCACTGTCTCTTTCAACAAGCAGGAAACACTGCTAACACTTAAGCTGAGCCTTACGTACACTTGGTTATCCGGTTATCCTTACATACCCTAGTTATCTACACTTTTTTTGCTTCTCTCTACAGCTGTTTGTCCCTAAGTTTCTAGAGTTTATTAACTGGATCCAGTTTGTTCTTTACAAGAATTTTTAAGTGTATGACCCCTTGTTATTTTTAAAACTTATTTAACAGGAACAACATCAACAAAAAGGCACATGTTCAGTGGAGCCAGGGATTTGAAAGGTTTCTGTGGGATGGAAGAGGGCTGGGTCACTGGGCTAGCTCATGGATTTATGGTTCAAATTCACATCATCTTGGGGAGAGTGAGTGATATGATGCTGTGGAATCACCTGGCTCAGGTCCAGCACAAAGTCTGCCATCCACCAAGCACCAACCAGGTTCAAGTTCGGTGAATTATATGTCAAAAGTTAGATCTAGACATAGCAGCAAGCAGGGCTGGGTGGAGTTGAGGTCTAAAAGGACTAAGAGGAACATATGTAAATCCATGACTGATTCATGTCAATGTATGGCAAAAACCACTACAATATTGTAAAGTAATTAGCCTCCAACTAATAAAAAAAAATGGGAAAAAAAAAAAAAAGGACCAAGAGGGCTTGGGTGGGGACAAATCACTCACTCACTCAATCAGGGCTTTTTTTTTTTTTTTTAATCCAAGGGATAAAATGAATTCTTCTACCAGGTGGTGCAGTCCTTCTAGGGAAAGGTTTAAATAACCTCTATGATGCCAAAACATACCAAGGCCCCAGAATTCACCCATCAAGCAGAGAACATCTTGGAAAGAACTGTGTGTTCTTCTTTGAATTCTCTCAGAGACTGACGCATTGCCCTGAAGGTCATTAACAGATACTAGATCAACAAACTAAAAGATTCCATTAGAGAAGGAAAGGGCGACCTACTCCAGTGTTCTTGCCTCAGAAATCCCACGGACAGAGGAGCCTGGCGGGCTACAGTCCATGGGGTCACAAAGAGTCAGACACGACTGAATGAATGATCATGCAATGTATCTCAGGCTAAGACCCTATGGATGCCTATGATTTCTGTAGCTCATTTTAAATCATGCCTTTAATAAATTCTCAAAGCCCATAATTCTGCACAATCTATATGTTATAAAAAGAAAAAATTAATATAAAATACTCCTAAGCAAAATAAGGTGAAATGTTCTGAGAGCCGGTTCTCAGGCAGAGTTCCAAAGGAGGTAACCTGGGGGCACCTCCCCATCCAGGTCCAACACCTCCAAGCACCTCAAGTTCTACATGTCCCCCATTTCTATATGCAGATAGTGACTGATCCCAGAGGGCTGGCCTGGGAGGACACAAGGTGCCTAGAAATGAGGAGTCATCCTGGAGACCGTAACAACCTATCTGGAAGGGCAAATGCATGGCATGTGGGGTCTCTGGTGCACTTTTTCTGTTGCATCAGGGCTCCTTCCCACTCCCTCACACCTGTGTCCACCTGCAGGCCAACTGTGAGGTCTCCAAAACCACCACCTCCCATCCCACCCGGAAGCCTCGACTCAGCCAAGTGGGGAGTGTCCTGCAAGTGGACCTGGTGTGATGCTGCTTCCTTCGATCTGTCACCACGTGTCAGGCCTCCCCAGCAGCAGCTCCAGACCACTACTGCTTGCTGCCTTTGGGGGCTGACTGGGCTCAGCCAGGCAGGTCTGCTCTGCACGTCGTCCACTTGTCTGCGTTCCATTAGTGGCTGGGCTGAGCTAGAAGGTCGGGGAAGACCTCCCTTGTCTGGGGCCCTAGTGCTCCCTTGCATGAATTCTCCATGTGACTAGCTGGGATTTCTTCACAGATGGTGGCCTTGGGACAGCCAGACTACTTCCAGGTGAAAGGAGAAACAGCCAGGCCCCTTACGGGTGGGGACTGCCACATCTTATGGGCACATCTGTTTCATTACATTGGTCAAAGCAAGTCTCTGGGCCACCTAGCCTCTTGGAGATGTGGTAGACTGATAAAAGAGGAGGGAAGGAATCAGGGGAACCATCTTGGGAGATTCTACCTCGGTACTGCCCAGGGCCAGCATCTGTCTTCCATCCTTCAGTTCAGTTCAGTTCAGTTCAGTCGCTCAGTCGTATCTGACTCTTTGCAACCCCATGAACCGTAGCACGCCAAGCCTCCCTGTCCATCACCAACTCCTGGAGTATTCTACCCAAACTCATGTTCATTGAGTCGGTGATGCCATCCAGCCATCTCATCCTCTGTTGTCCCCTTCTCCTCCTGCCTTCAATTTTTCCCAGCATCAGGGTCTTTTCAAATGAGTCAGCTCTTCGCATCAGGTGGCCAAAGTACTGGAGTTTCAGCTTCAACATCAATCCTTCCAACTGAACACCAAGGACTAATCTCCTTTAGGATGGACTGGTTGGATCTCCTTGCAGTCCAAGGGACTCTCAAGAGTCTTCTCCAACACCACAGTTCAAAAGCATCAATTCTTTGGCGCTCAGCTTTCTTTGAGGTCCAACTTTCCATCCTTGGTACTCCGTAAATGCCAAGGAGTGTTGGGTGAATGAGTGAGGAGAATGATAGGGGTCAGCACCTGCCAGGCACTGAGAAGAGTCCATCTTTTTTGTTTTTAGTGGCAAAAGCACACAGGACCCAAAAGGGTCTGTGAGCTCTACAGATGTTAGAGGTCTTGAGCCCAGATGATGTTGTCAGCTGGCTATGAACCTACATAATTCATATTTTTCCCTGCTCTCATTTCCTGTCCTACACAACATTTGTCACAAAGAAAACTGCCCATCATTTTTTTACCTTGACTTGATCAGTAAATAAGACTTTCCTCTTTATAAACTCTCTTCTAGATGTTAGGAAGTAAGAGAACAGGGACCAAAAAGGCACATTTAAGGGTGGTTACATGTTTCCATCTAACCAATCCACTTCAATTCTGGCCTCAGAATTTCAAGGACGTAGCTGAGAATCTTAGGTTCGCTTGTTGGTTTTCCCATAAGTCTTGAAGGCAAAGAAACCAGCTCAATTCAAATCAAAGCATCCCCAACACCTCACACTGTCAGGAACAAATCAGGAACTCAACATACGACATTTTCACAGAATTTATAAATGTACGGCGTTACAAGTATGAAAGAGTTGCGGTTCACACTTTTCTCCCCTCGGGGCCTGTCTATGAACCCACCCATTCTATTTCTCTGGTCCTGAGTAACCTGGGATGTGACGCTCTGTCATCTCCAATTTGTCGTTGTTGTTCAGTGGCTGTCGTGTCCAACTCTTTGCAAACCCTTGGACTGCAGCCCGCCAGGCTTCCCTGTCCTTCATTATCTCCCAGAGTTTGCTCAAATTCATGTCCATTGAGTTGGTGATGCCATCCAACCGCCTCATCCTCTGTCGTCCCCTCCTGCTGCCCTCAATCTTCCCCAGCATCAGGGTCTTTTCCAATGAGTCAGCTCTTCTCATCAGGTGGTCAAAGTATTGGAGTTTCAGCAACAGTCCTTCCAATGAATAATCAGGACTGATTTCCTTTAGGATTGACTGACTGGATCTCCTTGCAGACCAAGGGACTCTGAAGAGTCCTCCAGCACCACAGTTTGAAAGCATCAATTCTTCACGGCTCAGCCTTCTTTATGGCCCCACTCTCACATCTGCACGTGACTACCGGAAAAAGCTTTGATTAAACGCACCACTGTTGGCAAAGTGATCTGCAATCATGTTGGAGACCTCCCGCCCACACACAGATTGATATCCCCTTCCCTGGCTCCCACCAGGGTGCAGACCTAGACCCACGTGAGACCCATCAGATGCCCTCACCTGGTGAGAAGCACCGAGTGTGGAATGAGCAAACACAACAGAACTGATGGAGCAGCAACCAGCAATGCTTCAGAAGCACCAAGTAGTTGTCACGCTGCCGTTGTCTTAGCTCTCCAGGCTGCCTCGGTTCCTCCCAGCTTTCCTAACCTAGTCCTCCAACTTCCTGTGACCCTCCAAGCCCCCAACATTCTTCCAGTACATCTTTCCTTATTACAGACTCAGTTTCCATTACTTGTAATCGAAGCCATCCCACCAGTACGCTTTGGTAGTAGAAGCAGGTATTGCTAATCACAGAGAAGCAGGGAAGGAGGAAAAACTTTGAATGGTGATCTGCCTTACAGATGACAGAAAGACAGCATGAGCTCTGCTAACAGCCTGAGATGGAGCAGGAGTGGCCTGGAATGGCACACCCACCAACTGTGCAGCTTCGTGTTCTCCGACAACCCCCTCCCCCGCTCCAGGGGTCGCTGTGACCCTAGCTGGCTCCAGGAGGATTGCTCAGTGACTATTATACAAACAAACTGAAACAAAAGCAGCCTTGAGGAGTGAAGGTTGTGCCAGGACTGGTTGCAGGCAGCAGAACCTTTGGGTCCTGCTCAAGTCCCAGGCACTACCCAGGGGGTCCTTTCTCATGGACTCCATCACCATGAACTTGGTTATCTGTACAGAACTGTTTCTTCATGTATCCGGGCAGAGAGCCAAAGGCACTAATTACAAAACACACATGGAATCTTCAGAATCCCCTCTGAAAAACCTGAGATCCAGAGGGCGCCTGAGTTGCTCTAACTCCAAGAGGTCCAGCGCCCCCTGGGCTGTATGTGGCTGCAGTGTCTCTGGCCTGTTCCCAGAACCCGTAGAGGCTCAGCTTGGGGGCTTCCCAGGGGAGAGCTTAGAAGGAATTCTAGTTGCTACCCTGAATTCTGATTATGGCAGCTATATTTATTGGGAGTAAAATTTGGTTTGAAGAATGCCATGGCTGAGAACATCTGAAAGTCTTCAATGCTTTCTTTCTGACAGATCAGGGTTTTCAGAAGAGCTCTAGTTCCAACCGTTGACGTGCTGCTGGTGGTGGAAACACCATGGGTTTGGAGATCACACTTGTCTCAACTTGAGCGCTATGCTACGTGCTACTGATCAATCACCCTAGAGCCTGCTTCCCCAGGTTTGTCGGGAGAGCTGAACAAGGTGCAGAGTGTCCCAAGTGTGTCTACCAGGCTCATAAAAATTGAAGTTGCTTCCTGGATAAGGTCAATGTAAATGCTGGACAACCAGGCCCCAGCGGCTGCCTGCTCCCTCCCTCCTTCCCAAATGAATTCCCACTCTGGGGTATTAATTCTCTTCCATACTGTCGTGTGCATCAAAGGAAACGGACCTCACCCAGACTCCATGAAAGCAAATCTGGATTACTCTGTATGCATCACCAACTCTAGCCCACACTCTGCCCTCTACGGAAATATTCTGCCCAGGACCCCCTGTCCCAGATCAGGCTCGCTGTTTGCAGGGCAAGGTCCTCCTCATCCCGACTGGCCCTTTGCTTTGCTGGATTCAGCCTTCCTGCAGCTTCTTGAGGAAGGCAGCATGGTGGATGACATTTTTACATGTAAAAGTGCCTTTATTTTACTGGTCCTTTGGTTGGGAATGGGATGCTAAGCTGGAAATCCCTTCCACTGGGTTTTGAGGTGCAGCTCCTCAGCATGGATTTGCATAACCTGAAGATGTTTCTGGCCCTGGACCTTTGAATGCAGGTGATGCTCTTCCTTCTGAGGGCCTGTAGGATCTCTCTCTGGTGCTCCTGAAACTGCATCACAGTGGGCTCGCTGGAGGTCTATCTTCATATACTTTGCTGAGCATTTCAACCTGGAAACTCATAATTCAGTTCTGGGTGAATTTTCATAATTAAAAAATGAAAGTTGCCAGCCTGTTTCTTCTGAAACTCCTTTGGCATTGAGATGCTCAACCTCTTAAGGTGGTTCTGACCACGTGTCCCCTTTCAATTTTAATTTTTGTTCAACTTCCTGTATTATTTTTTCAACTTATTTCTTTCAACTATTCTACTGGTTTTTCATTTATTTTCGTCTCCAAATACACACACACACACACACACACACACAACTGATCCTGTTATCTCATGCATGCACTATCTTCTCCTATTCTTTGAATATATTTAAGAGATTTAGATTTTTCTTTTCCTTGTACAGACCATTTCTTTCAAGTTGATTCTTTTGTTTTGATATCCCACCTTTGTCTTGGAGGCTCTTTTCATATGGCTGGAGATCCACATTTGGTTGGCCTGCTGATCCTATTTAAGGGTCAAGCACTAAAAACTTGTTTGAAACCCTGAGCATTTGGGTAGTCTGATGCCGATGGGTGCTCCAGGTGGCATCACCAAGGAATCTGAATCACTGTGGGTGTTTTGGCTGAAGTTGGTTCTACTCCCTACAGAAGTTGTTGCTCTCCCATCTAGCATGTGGATGTATGTGTGTATAAAACTAGGATGTTGATTCCTAACCAGCCCCCATCCCCGCCAAGGGGATGGCGTCAGGAGATGGGGCCTTTGGGGGTGATGAGGTCATGGGGTGAAGCCCTCAGGATGGGATCAGTGTCCTGGGAACAGACCCGAGAGCTCCCTGCTCCTTCCTCAGGTGAGGACACAGTGAGAAGATGCTCTCTGTGAACCAGGAAGGTACTCAACAGGCAACACACCTGCCAGTGCCTTCCCCTCACACTTCCGGCTTCCAGAGCTGGGAGGAGTTGGACCCTGTAGGTTACAAGTCTTCTGCTGCAGCTGCCTGAGCTCGTGAAGATGATGGTCTGTGTCCACCGTGGCCCTGGCCCTCAGCTGTGCCTGGTCTCTTTCAGGAGATCCTCCTGTTTCATCCTTGAGACCTTGAGACCAAAGCTCTGGATTCCACCAGGGCTGAGGACGAGACATTGCCCACTTTCACAGGACAGCAAGAACATGAGGATGTAACTGGCTTTTATTCAAACTCTCTGCCACTGTTCCTGCTCCACCTTTACTCCCAATTCCCATGGTCCCAGCACTATCGAGTCCCGCCCCCTGTCAGAGTTCTTGGGCCTGGGGAGCTGTCAGTCATCACTCACTTATCTGCTTCCCAACCTCACTTTCTCCCTGCTGTCTTTGTCTGAACAGCTTTATGCCTTTTAAAAAGCATCCTATTTGCTGTCCCTGAAGTATAGCTTCAGGAAGCAACCAAAGTACACATATGACTGGTCCATGATCATGTCCAGTCATAAAGGCCCCACCGACGTTAGCCCCCATGATCCAGCTCCTGGCCTCACTGAACTGACCATGCTAACATCGCCTCTGTCTTTGAAACTTTATTCCCCACCCCTGCTGGTTCGGGCAATGCTGGACGCTGAAGCCACTTCCACTTAAACCTCTTCCTCTCCTGAATTCAGCAGCAACTCCATCTCTGGGAACTGGCTGTTGCCTCCTTCAGAGAATGCTCTTCCTTTCTCGGCTCAAGCCTGGTGTTCCTCTGCTCTTTCCTTTCTGGACACTATGGTGGAGTGGACTCGTCGAAACCCTCATGCTGGTTTCCCTCACCCGCCACTTACACACGACAACTATAAACTGCTTCCGGTCCATGCCAGTCTGCTGACCTACAGACCCATGTCCCCACCAGCAAACCTACTTGGGTTTCTTATAAGCACCCAAACTTGACAAGTCAAAACCAAGTCCATCATTGTTTTTACACAGACCTACCACACCCTGTGTTTTCTGTCCCAGTGAAGGGGTACCCTCACCCACACTGCAAACAAGCCAGAAACCCAGGGGTCCTGTCGGGATTCCTACCACCGACTTACTACCCCCAACGAAGCCCTAAGTCCTGCTGATTTGACCTCTTTAATCCCGAGAGCAGAAGTTCTCAGAACTCAGTGCACGTCAGAATCACTTGTAGGGCTCATTAAACATCAACATCAACCAAATGTCCCTCAACAGATGAATGGATAAGATGTGGTACATATATACAATGGAATATTATTCAGCTGCAAAAAGGAACAAAACGGTGCCATTTGCAGAGATGGGGATGGACCTAGAGGCTGTCATAAAGAATGAAGAAAGTCAGAAAGAGTAAAACAAATATCACTCATATGTGGAATCTAGAAAAATGGTACAGATGAATTTATTTGCAAAGTAGAAATGAAGAGACAGATGCAGAGAACAAACATATGGATACCAAGTGGGGAAGAGTGGAATAGGATGAACTGGGAGATAGGGATGGATGTATATACAGTACTATGTATAAAACTGATAACTAAGCACAGGGAACTGTACTCAATACTCTATGACGATGTAAATGGGAAGGAAACCTGAAAAAGAGGGGACGCATGTATATACGTTATAACTGATTTACACTGCTTACAGCAGAAACAAACAGCACTGTAAAGCAAAGACATCCTAATAAAAAGTAATAATAATAAAAATACTAACTGCTGGCCCCAGTCTCACAAGTTCTGACCCAGCAGATGTGGGTGAAGAACAGAATGTGCATTTATATCAAGGTCCCAGGGGATGTGACACTGCTGAGCTGGAGGCCACTCTGAGGACCACTCACTAGAGGACAACCCCACCTCACTGGACCCCTTCGCCTGTGCTGGTCCAGCCCAGCAGATGGCATTTCTAGCTGAGATCATAACTCTGAGCCTCTTAACTGAGCTGACCTTCTCAAAACATCCCCCAATCTACAACTGGAATGCTCTTTCTGAAAAGAAAACCGAATGTCTCACAGCTTCTCACTGACTTCTCATAACTTTTGAGGGTGCCACCCAAACTCCTTCATGTGCAGGGCCCTTGGTGACCTGGCCCCTCACTGGTCTGCTCCTACTGCACACTCCCCAGCCAAACATGTCTCATCTCTCCAGACATTTCCTACAGGTCATACCTTTAGTGATTGCAATTTCAGGTGCTGATATTCTGTGATATTTTAAAATTTCTCTGTACCAATACTTTAGGTTGGTCAAATGCTATCACCTAGTTTTTAAAAAATCTAAAATCTGAAATATGCCTTGAGCATAATTATATGAAAGGACAAAGTAATGCATAATCTACAATGCACTATGATATTTTAACACTTCTATTTCAAGAATAATTTTTATTTCCAATAACTTCTAAACAAATGGAATATGACATAACAGAATTTGTTTTTATATGGGTAATTCTGCATCAGAACCTCTATACACATGATAAAATCAAAGAAGATGGTGACAAATCAGAAATCCTAACTTTGAGATAAAAAACTAGAACTTGGTATTAGCAGACTGCACATTCTTAAACAATTGAAAAAAGATCTCATCTAAGTTATCAATGAAAAGGGGTTACTTAAAAATGAATGAGCCAAAGAAAAATACCTGGAACTAGCTTATAATTATTTTCCTTATTCTCCCAATTTATGTGGTGTAAAAATAAAACAAATCTCTACAGAAAATGTGCACAAAAATACATTCACAACTAAATGAAATCAGGGAAGCCCCATGATTTAAAGACTAACCTTTATAAAGGATCTAAAAGATTTTCATTTCCATGTAGTGCTTAGTTTATATTTTTGAATAACACTTTTATTGTTTTCATCTAATCACTCATATTAAAATGATAATGGATATTTAACACTTATACACATGGGTATGGGATTAGAAGATGCAAACTATTATGAATAAAGTAAATAAGCAACAAAGATATATTGTACAGCACAGGGAAATATAACCATTTTTAATAACTTTAAATGGAGTATAATCTATAAAAATATTAAATTATGTTGTACGCCTGAAACTAATATAATATTGTAAATCAACTATACTTCAATAAAAAAATCTGTAATAAAAATAAATAGAATATAATTAACTTTATAAGTATATTTAACAAAACTATAAATTTTATATAGGAATTTCTATCTTAATAAACTGATTACTGATTTCCTTAAGAAACTAAAATAAATAACATTTCTATTTTTACTGTGTATTTAAAAATTAGTTTTCTATTTGAAACACATCAACTATTTGATTTTACTGACATTTTAGAAATTCTTATATAACACTTAAAAAATAAAGTACCAGTATCAATTCCTGGATCCTATTTTTTTTAAATAAGTACTAAAATACTAACACTGATGTTTTACTGTGGCACCGTATTTGTCCTTCATGTTGCTCCTTTCTAGAAGGTTCTCTCCTTCTTTAGTAGGTAGCTAGTCACTCACTCCGATACTAAACACAGCTCCAGCACCACCCATTCTGGTGGTCCCCCGCCCTCCTCTCTGATGGACGCCTCTCAGGCCCCAGAGCAGCAGTGCGGTTCCAGCTCTGGATGCCCCCCTAACCCCCCACATAGCATCACACTCCTCACTGCCCTCTCCGAGTCAGGACTGCATGTGATTCTAGACACCCATGGTCAGGCCTGCCCAACATGTGCTCAGTGGAGGCCTATTATCTACTCCTCCAACAATCGCAAGCACCTTCCTCTCCAGTGAGCAAAACCAGACTTCCAGAAAACATGTTCGTAGGCCCCTCCCTAGCCATCCCCTCCCCAAATCCTTCTACTGAAGGACTCTGAACACTGTGCCCTGCAAATCCAAACCACCCCCTCCCACTCGCTGCTTTGTTACAAGTGATCCAGGAGCACCAAGCGAGGCTGGGCCAGGAGCACGAGGCTGGGCCAGGAGCACGGCAGGGGGGTGAGGACGTCCGCCCCAGCTGTGCTCAGGGCCCACGTGTGAATCCTCCTCCCCGTGCAGATGTTAACGCAGCCCTCACCCTCTCCACACGGCCACCCCGTCTGCCAGCACCCTTGCTTTCCTCACCGGGCTGCTCGCTCACTAAGCTCCACCAGAGGCCCGACGGGGGAGAGACGGGGCGCCGCACAGGGCGAGAAATCCGCTCCCCACTCAGTGGCCTGGGCTCAGACACCAGAGCCAGGGAGCTCCAGCAGTGCCCCACCTGCCGCCTGCATCCCTGATGTGCTGCATGGCGAAAGTGTGAAAATACCAGATCCACATGTGGCTAAGCCACATCTCTGCGAGAACAGCTTTACCACTGACACCCCCCAGCACCCGACCAGGAACCAGTGCCTGTGTCCTGCGTGGTGGCTGGCCGGCCTCGCCCCTCTCTCGGGCTCTGGTCTTCTATTCTGCCTGCAGGGATGCGAGACATCTGGCTAGGGTCACTGCACTTGTTATGTGTCGTGCTGCCTCCCTGCTCAGGCTGTGAGCCCCACGATGACAAAGGCGCACCCTGGGTCTCACATGTGCGTGACTCCCCAGAGCATGGAAAACCTTGCTTCTGATATGTCAGCTGTCACCCTGGACACAAAGCCTCCTGCTCTGCTCAGTGCATGATGTGAACAGTCACAGAGCTTCGACAACAGTAAGCGGAGAAACGGAGAAAGTCCAGGAACAGCGGGGGTGAAGGCAGGGGCCTCACACGGTGGAATGCCAGTGCTACAATGCCTGTTTAATTGAGACCTTGTAATAAAAGTTTAAATACATAAATTTTTTTTTTTTATCAAAAGACCATCCCCCACGTTCCTGGCCCGCTGACGTGGAGGAGGGGCGGCAGGGTCTGACTACCTCCAGGGGTGAAGACAAACCAGGTCCAACTCTGGCAGTCGTCATCATCCTTGGAAAATGCTCTGTGAGCAAGGCTGGCCTCAGGGAGGGAGCCCCCCATGCCGGTGTCTGCAGGGGCAGGAGCCCCCCGGGCATCCCGGTGGGAGGAGAACAGGGTCCACGCTCAGAAGACAAGGAAGAGCAGGGCCTCATGCCGGGGCAGCACAACGTTCTCCACTGTGCGGTCCATGGCGCGCACCTGCTCGGGGGAGGCGGTCAGGAAGGCCAGTGGCCCGATGCGCTGCTCCACACACGAGTGGCACAGGTACCCACCCTTGTTCTCCTTCCTGTTGCTCTGCAGGGTGGGGTAAGGAAAGGAGACGACGGGGACAGTTGGAACACAAGTGTTTTCCACCAAGAAGTGTGACCCCCCTCCATCAGACTCCGATGCTTTCAGACCTGCTGTGTGGCCCTGAGGTCACACCTCCCCCAGCAAAGCATCCACGGTGGACTCTGCTATATCAAGTTCCCAGGGCGTATTAAGGCACGAGATGAAAAAGCCAGGAAAAAGCTAGCCGGGCCCCAAGGAAATAGTCCTCACCTGAGTGTCTGCACCAGCCCGCCTCCCAGACTGCCACCTGGCTTGGCCCCACGGGGTCCAGTGTCTGTGACACTGAGGTCCATAGGACACCTCCAGACCTCCTCGTGGAAGGATCAGACAAGCTTCCCCTTCAGCTCCCTCACCCATGGCCTGGATAGGCTGCCCAGTGATAAAGCTCAGACGACTGAGCTAAACCCTGGCAAGGGCAGAGGCAGCGGCCGAGACACGTACGTAAGTGATAGGCAGCTTGCGCATGGTGAGCACGGCGTCCACAGGGATGGCGTTGCTGCACTGGCCCACGCAGCAGCGCACCACGCCTGTCTTCAGCACGTTACTCGTCAGCTCCGCCTGCAAGAAGTATTCCTGGGAAGGAGAGAGCAAGAGTGTCACTGCAGTGCCTCTGCAATTTTCTACCTGGATGTCCAACACTCTAGGACATCATATGAGTCCCAAGATGAGAAAAGCAGGGACCACAGCAGCTTCCCTTATTTCTCTGCCTTTTCCCCGCACGTAATGCCAGCTCCAAAAGAACATGCACAGCGGGACCCAGTCCAGCTGCATTCTTACTAAAATGACTGGTTTAAATAAAAAGGTTTAATGGACAAACATGTGAAACTATTGGCTACAATATTTTAGGACTACTTCTGGATTTTATCTGAGGCTGACCTGTCTCTGAGTCATTAAAAACGATCTGCATGTTCTCTTCATAACCCAGTGAGCTTCAAAACAACGCCTGTCTTCAGCACGTTACTCGTCAGCTCCGCCTGCAAGAAGTATTCCTGGGAAGGAGAGAGCAACAGTGTCACTGCAGTGTCTCTGCAATTTTCTACCTGGATGTCCAACACTCTAGGACATCATATGAGTCCCAAGATGAGAAAAGCAGGGACCATAGCAGCTTCCCTTGTTTCTCTGCCTTTTCCCCGCACGTAATGCCAGCTCTAAAAGAACACGCACAGCAGGACCCAGTCCAGCTGCATTCTTACTAAAATGACTGGTTTAAAAAAAAAGGTTTAATGGACAAACATGTGAAACTATTGGCTACAATATTTTAGGACTACTTCTGGATTTTATCTGAGGCTGACCTGTCTCTGAGTCATTAAAAACGATCTGCATGTTCTCTTCATAACCCAGTGAGCTTCAAAACCCTGCCCACGCCCATTTCCCTGAGCCCTTGGCTGTTCTCGTGAGTAGGCTCTGAGCCTCTGCTGCTCTACCTGCCAAAGGCACAGACCCAGCACCCAGGTCAGCTGGCGGTTGTGAGGAAGATGCACAATAGCGTGTGCCAGGCGCATGTTTGTTGTCTGCACACAGTGGACACCCGAGTCAAATGCCAGCACCCTCCCAGATGGGAGATGCCACGAGAACAGGAACCAGGGTCTGGTCTGCTGCTGCCACAGAAGAGGGTAACCAGGGTCTGGCACACCAGAAAGACCTCAAATGCTTGCTGACAAAACAATTATGATTTTATGGGTTTTTTTTAATTACAACTAGCTATTTATCCAATTTTTTTTTTGGGCAAAATCCAGGTCTAAGGTTCTGATTTATGTGGTTTTTCTGTCTTTCAGGGTCTGCCTACCTGCTACAGGAAAAGAACAGAAAATATACAGACGCTTGTGTTCCCGCCAGTGTGTATGAACAACTAACTGCTGACCAGGGTGGACTTCACCATATCTGAAACAGGATGCTCCCACATGGATTCATAAGCCACGACAGAGAAAAAGCAGAAGTCCTTTCCTCACGCAAGGTCCTTCAGACTAAGAGTCAGCTGGTCACACAAACGGCTGTACTTCCGGGGCCTCCTTGGAGTCCCTGGACCAACAGATGTCTCCTAACCAGCCTTAGTGAGAAGGAAGTACTTCTCCAGAGTCCATGTTCTTTTCTCCTTGGAGAAAGCTCATTTTCCCCATAAAATGTGTGCATGAGCAACTGACATGCTTCCAGTTAGCTTTAAAAAGTCTGCTAGACTCTAACATAAAACTTGTGGGACTCCAAGACATACAATTCCTGTGATGAATATGGCAATACCTAGAAAAGTGATACATTCATTATCCTTTACCCACAAATTTTGACTGTAGAATTGTATCCCCAAGATGTATTAGCTAAAACAGAAAATGATTTGTGCCTAAGATCATGCATGGTGGCAAAAGTATTAAAAGTAAAAGACTGGAAAATATCCAACATCCATGGGTGAAGAACTATATAAATCATGTCAGATGGACACAGTGAATACTATTCAGCTGTAAAAAGGAGGAGAAAAAGCTTTAGAAACTGATAAAAAGTGAGGTACAGAATATTATAGAATGCTACCTTTCACGGAAAAGGAGAATAAAAAATACATCTATACATATTAGTCGATATCTACAAAAGGAAATATCAAAAACTAATTTTTAAAAACTAGCTATCAATGATGGAAGGAGATAAATGTCTACAGGAGCTACGGAGGGAACAAGACTTCTCAGAGGACACTTGCTACAAAGTTCTGATTTCAGAAACATAAACTTTATACATTCAAAAAAGATAATGAAAAAGGAGAGCAATCCTTGTAGGGGCTGCAGATAAACAAATATGTCTACTTGCACTTAAACTGGTGATCAAGTCACACAGAGGGGAAAAGACTCATTCCAAGCATGGTACTTCAAAACACTGTACTCTGACTACACATCTTCAGTGAAATATTGAGAGATAGAGCTGTTAGGAAATCTTTAATTTCACACAGTATTCTGTCAACAGTAATATTGGTACTACTTGAAAACTTTTACAGAGAATAATGTAAATAAGTAATTAATAAATACAGTTCAGAACCAAGATTTTCAGTGTAAGAGAAAAGATTCAAATGTAAAATAAAGTAGAGTGTGTAATGTGTAAAGAAGTAAAAATCCTTAAAGGACTGGGCTGGAGAACCACAAATGATGAGGATTATAAATGCAACTGGCCACCAGCTCCCAATGGTACAGACAGAGGGCAGCCCACCTCCTGCTAGTTGCACCTGTGTGTCTATTTTATGTATCTGTGTTGCATTTAACAAGAAGTTTAAATTAGAAACTGGAATTGAAATGATCAGTATCAAAAATATGGATTTCCCAGCTCTGTCTGCTAAAAAGGTGAACAGTTTGAGCATCAGTAAGAGGGAGAGAATCAGAAACCAATGCCTCCTGACGGGATACAGCACAGAGCGAAGCCTGCTGCCCCCGCACCGTGGAAGGTTCCTGCCAGCACAGTTAGACCCCAACTCAGTCACGCCCCTCAGGTGACTTCCTGTGATGGCAGACGACAGCAGAACAAACGCAGAACAGGGGACACTCTGGGGAACAACTGGCGCAGTTTCCACAAAAAGTCAGAAGCGTCAGGGACGAGGGAGGGGTCCTGGGCTGCTCTAAATAAAGAAGCTTAAGAGATCTTCCCTGGTGGCTCAGAGGTTAAAGTGTCTGCCTGCAGTGCGGGAGACCTGGGTTCAATCCCTGGGTCAGGAAGATCCTCTGGAGAAGGAAATGGCAACCCACTCCAGTCTTCTTGCTGGAGAATCCCATGGACGGAGGAGTGTAGTGGGCTACAGTCCACGGGGTCGCAAAGAGTTGGACACGACTGAGCGACTTAACTTTCACTTTCCCTTTCAAGAGACCTAATAACCAAATGTCTGTTTGAGTCCTGATCTGAATGAATCAGCTGTAAAAAGACATCTCTGAGATAATCATAAAATTATGATTATGGATTGAGTGGTAGAGGCCATGTGGAATCACCATAAATGTTATAAGATACAATAATGGGAGCTGTGGGTATGAAAGAAAAGTCCCCGGTGTTTCAGAGACATGGACTCCAAACATATGCAGATGTAGGACTGTAATATATCACTGTCTCAACATTAAAACGTTTCAGATTTCTTCAAGTAACCCATGTTGTGAAATAGTATCAGTACTCTACAAGCCATCTGTTATCAGTTGCCAGTGATAATATGCTTCTGTTACAGATCTAACTACTACTGTAACAGAGGTTCTACAAGAAAACCACGCTGTAGGTTCTAAGAAAACATAAGATTAAAGTTCATACAGAAACTCATACAACAGATAGAGATTATTTGTACATAAAATTTACTCTCTTACTTCACTCTCTGGGGTACTGGTTTAGAGACTAAGAAAAGCCAGGCTTATCTATAAACCAGGAAATCAGCAAATAACTGTCTGTGCTTACCCCAGCCAAAGTCAAAATGTTCTCCAGAGATTTGGTCATGATGAGCTGCTTTTTGGCACGAGTTACAGCTACATACAGTAAATTCCACTCATCCTCAGAAAACGACTCTAAAGAAAGAAAAGGGAAAAAAACATATCAACACACAAGCCTGCTTATAAAAGTTTACATTTTCATCTAAACGTTTACTACTCCCCACCCACCCTGCAAAAACCCCTAAAGATCTGCTGGTTTCATAAACAAAGCTTTCCTACAAACACCAACTCCAGAAACAAATAAAACCCTACAGACAAGGGGCACAGGACCTTGAGTTCCTGTTTGTGCTGCCTCTGGCAAGTCCTGGGGGCTTGTTCACTGGTCACCCAGCACCTGGTACATGGTCACCAGTGACGTGTCCGGTGCATTGTCAAGGCAACCAGGAGGCTGGCAGAAATCAGGCTGATGGAGGTGAAGTCCCTGGACAGACAGGACTCAGCCACAGACGCACAAGGGTCCTGGGGTGGCTGAGCCTCCTGTCTCGGGGCTATGCTCTTCCCCCCACACGCCGTCCCTCTCCCTCAGCCAGTCTGGATGGGCTCGCGTGGTTTCCGCCCTGTCAGCTGCCTGCACACAGAAGCCCTCCTCAAGGGGTGGGGGTCTGGGAACACACACAGAGCTGTGCCATCCGCCTTAGAAGGGTGGGCACAGGATGAGGCCAAACACCACAGCACTGAACTTTAGAGCAGAGAAGGGTTTAACGCAGGGCCCCACAAAGAGTTGGATGGCTTGTGCCCTGAACAGCCCAAACTCCCCGAGAACTCTCAGCAAAGACCTTTTCTAGGGGAGGGGAGGGAGGGGGGAGTGAGTTGTTGCAAACGTCTTGGTGGCAGAGCCTGTGTTCCTGAGGTCAGGTCACGGTCAGGGAACGATGGTCCTGTAAACCTCCACCAACTGAATAACATGCTCTGTTCTGACAAGAAAGGACACGGTCCCCAGGCAAAACCGTCACCCTCTGAGGTCTGGTACTGGCTAAGAGGAGGCAAATCTCAGCTGGCAGCTCCCTCAGGGCCAGGCCTCCAGACCCCGACCAGCTGCCATCGTGAGGGAGCTGGGCACCCAGGCCCTAACGGCCCTCTGCCTCCGCAGGCTGCCAGTATGGTGGGGGCAGGCCCCACAGACCGTGACACACGCAGATGGCCGCGGCCGTGAGGTCTCACAGGCGGGGATCAGGGACCGGGTCACCACCTCAAGGCATGAGCCCAGTCAGGGTGCAGTCCTGGTGAAGGCTCTGGAGCCCTGCAGGACAAGGCCCCCAGCCTGTTCCCTGGGCCCCCGGCTCACGAGCTGGCCCAGGGCTGGGTGAGCTGAAGGGCCCCAGGGAGAAAGCCAGGCTCCGCCTCTTACCTCACTCTCCTCCTGATGACCTCCACCCCGCTGACAGCTGGCTGAATGGACTGCTAAAAGTCGCTCCCTGACAGCTGGCTGCCTGTGGGAGGGGCCACTGCGGCGCCAACCAATGAGAGAGCAGGACTACTAACAGTCCGGCAGTAATCGTAAGGCACAGGACAGTCTGGTGCTAAGGGCTGCGTGTGGCCACACTCTATTACATTATTAAATAAACTTCACTTCCTCAAGACAGAGCAGCTGGTATCTCTCTATGGCCACTGTGTCTCCCTGCTCCACAGCAATATATGTCCAGCACTATGTCTTTCTCTTGTTTTAGGAATATATTTGATAGAGATAAGGAATTTTTAGTATTTCTTTTGGGGCTCGCCCATGCAGGCTATGACCCAAATTTTGATTCCATGACTAAGAGAGAGATTTTATCTGTTTACAGGAAGACTTCAAATGGTTTCATTCTAAGACTTAAACCCCAAATCAACAGCACTGATGCTTAGAGTTTAACAGGTAGCCTCAAGTATAAACTGATACAAAAGAAGACAAATGATAGTGTACATTGACGCCTTTTAAGATTCTCAGGCTTTTTTAATAAAAAAAAAAAAAAAAACACCCTGGTGGGTAGGTAAACTATGATTTAGAGCTTCTGTCTGATGGGGAAAAACCAAGACGCGGTAAGCACACCTGCCCTTGGAGAAGCCTGATGGAGGTAGGTCCTGGAAGCTCAGTTCTTCTAAAAACCAGTCTAAGAATAACAAATTTAGGACTAGGAGGACCTTTCTGTTCTAGGAGGATCCTTCCAAGAGGCCACACCATCCCGGAAAAAGCAAGGCAGCCCCACCGCGAGGACTCCGTCTGCTCACCGACTCTGAAGTGGGGCAGCTGTGCGAGGTTGTGCTTGGCACAGGGCACTTTCACAAAATCGTCCAGGACGTGCACGGTGTCAAACTCCAGGCCCTTGGCCTTGTGCACGGTGCCCAAGATGTACTCTGCAGCAGAAACACAGCCGACCATCAGCCAGGGGCAGGCAGGGAGAGACAGGAGAGGGGAGAAGTGTATGCTGCCCTGACTGCATCTTCTCGCCTGGGTGCAGCGCCACAGGAGAGGGAACCTCAGTTTGAAAAGAAAGAGGAGGAGGGAGACAGTAAACAGATGAGGGGAATGAGAAACCCACTGCAGGGGTTGGGTACACAGCAGAGCCCGGTCCGGAGCTCACGGCTACTACCTGCCACCCACTTTCTGCACACGAGGGGACAGAAGCCCAGGGGAGGGTGGGGGCTTGCCCAGGGTCACACGGTGGCAGAGCTGGGGCTCAGGAGCCCCTTCTTCCAGCTGGAAGAGCAGAAATAGAAGGGAGCGGGAGGAAGGCAGCCCAGCTCCCCTCGGCTGGTGCGGTCACCCCGGTCAGTGACGTCCACACTGGCAAGAGGCCCAGAGGCCGCCTCTGCCCCACATCCTTACCTGCGAAGTCCAAGTCCTCTATGTGGCACCGCTCTATCCTCGCCACCAGCTCTGGAATGCGGATGTTGTACTTCTCCACGACTGCGATCTTGGCTTCCAGCTCCTTGTCCTCGGCCGCGGTCACGTATCGCTTGAAGCCGCTGAAGCCCTCTTTGTGCGCCCACCTCCTGATGAACCTGTCTTTAATGACGAGGTTTCCTAGAGGGAACATGCATGTGCGTCAGGGAGATACAGCTGCACCCATGCTCGGGGGTGGCAGTTCCACATTCCTAATGGACCACGAGACAAATGAGTGGTCTCAGAGCTGGAGACCTGGGTCCAGGCCCGACGGCACCAACGACCCGCCGTGGGCGCCGGGGTGAGTCAGCACAGTGACCTGTGCATCAAGTTCAGGGTCAAGAGGTCTGCCCTTGAGACCCCCGCTTGTCAGGGATTTGAAACAATGCAGTGATGAAAAAGCAAGCGTGCTATGGAAGTGCTAGAGATGATCACACAGGGCCCAGGTAGAAGTCACCATGTGCGAGGTCCTCAGGCAGATGGAACAGAAAGAGGGTGAGGATGATGGCTGCAGGGCCAGTGTGTGAGAGAGAGATCTAGACTCCCAAGAACAGGGCCTGGGAAGAGCTGTCACTGCCTCTGAGAACAGGTGGCCTCAGGCACCGCGCCGCTGCCAGAAGCAGCACACTGGCTCCTCCAGGGCAGATGACAAGCGACGTAGCGCGCCTGTCCACCTCCCGCCCGACACCAGGATGCCTGTGCTTACCACGTGGCCAGGCAGTACTCACGTTTCTTCCGTTCTTCCTCTGGCTGCAGAAGTGTCCAAATATCAATGATTCTGTCCAATCCAAACGATTTAATCCCCTGAAAAAAGTTTGCTGGTGAAATTTTGGGCATCTTTGCATTTTTTGTCTTTGTTACTGTTGTTAACAAGACAAAGTAAAGAGGATGTACAGGTGGGATAGCGAAATGAGCTGGCTTCTTGGAACCGACTCTCAAACTGCACCCAGAGCATAAATGCAACGAGCTTTTGTGTGTGCACACAGGCAAGAAGGGCATGCACTTTTTTTTAAGAGAGCAGGGAAAAAGGTCCGCGGTCCTTGCTGGGCCTTACTTTACAGGACTCGCTGGAGCTGAACAGCCGGGGGGAGCATCTCCCAGCGCAGATGCAGGACAGTCACCCCAACTCCTGCGTGCAGGATAAGTCTGAGCGCATGGGGCACTTTCATCAGCTCTGTGTGTGGGTGAGGTTTCCATGTGAGAGTGGAGGACAGACAGGCACTCCTACCCCAATCAAGTGAATCCGGGCAGGCACCTCTCCCTCTGTGACCCGGACGGCCTCGTCAAACACGTTGGCGTTGGTGCGGGACAGAAGAGCCACCTGCCCCTTCGTGTCACCCCGGATGCCACCTTGAGGGAGAGAGCACAAACTCTGGGGCAGATCCAGGCAACGAGGTAAGCTAATCTGTGTAACAAACACGAGGAACTGCAGCCTTACTCTGATGGTTGCCTCCAACCAATGTCTTCTTTCTCACTCGCTTGCAGACATCCAAGATGGTAGCTCCCACGTAGGCTATCTCCACACCGAACCGGAAACTCTGGGAGAAGAACAGAACAGACGGTGTTAGCACCCACCAAAGAATGAGAACACACTGCTGTCACCAACGAGGTCTGGCCTCTCCAAATCCCGCTGCGCATCCCTGATTCGCCCAACCTTGAGAGGGTCCTTGGAAATTCCCTACTGCACAGCCACTTACATGGAACAGGAGCCTCATAGGCAGACATCACTATTCTAAGTTTTCAAAACAGCATTTTCTATCTTGAAACCTGAGACTGACCTATCTGTCTTTACCTCTTGCCCCTGAATCCAAACTCTGACAATCTTTTCACCACATTTTCTACACTATCTTATCACTGCTCCCAGCATTAACTCAGAAACCCCCGCCTCCTGTCTCACCTGCCTGGCCTCCAACTCCCTCCCTTGCCCCTTCTCTCTGCCAGATGAGTCCTCCGCCACACACTTTCATAAAGCCCTGTGCCTCGCCACAAACAGGAAGAGCAACCCATGAAGAAAGAGGTGGGGTGTGGACTCTCAGGACCCTCTCAGCCCCTTTGTTCCCTGAAACCAGCAGCAGACTTTCCTTTTAAGCAAATCCCTCATTCTTTCCAAACACCACCTAAAGCAGCAGCATAGATCACATAAATTACACACAGAAGATCAAGGCCCCGCCCCGTGAGGCTCCTTCAACACCAATGTGAAACCACTGCCCCACTGAGGAAGGCACGGCTTCTGCAATGCTTGGCCACAGATGACATGAAAGTGGATATTATGACACACAGCATTACCCATAGCTACTCCTTACTGCACTGCGGTCCTTGCTGGGCCTTACTTTACAGGACTCGCTGGAGCTGAACAGCCGGGGGGAGCATCTCCCAGCGCAGATGCAGGACAGTCACCCCAACTCCTGCGTGCAGGATAAGTCTGAGCGCATGGGGCACTTTCATCAGCTCTGTGTGTGGGTGAGGTTTCCATGTGAGAGTGGAGGACAGACAGGCACTCCTACCCCAATCAAGTGAATCCGGGCAGGCACCTCTCCCTCTGTGACCCGGACGGCCTCGTCAAACACGTTGGCGTTGGTGCGGGACAGAAGAGCCACCTGCCCCTTCGTGTCACCCCGGATGCCACCTTGAGGGAGAGAGCACAAACTCTGGGGCAGATCCAGGCAACGAGGTAAGCTAATCTGTGTAACAAACACGAGGAACTGCAGCCTTACTCTGATGGTTGCCTCCAACCAATGTCTTCTTTCTCACTCGCTTGCAGACATCCAAGATGGTAGCTCCCACGTAGGCTATCTCCACACCGAACCGGAAACTCTGGGAGAAGAACAGAACAGACGGTGTTAGCACCCACCAAAGAATGAGAACACACTGCTGTCACCAACGAGGTCTGGCCTCTCCAAATCCCGCTGCGCATCCCTGATTCGCCCAACCTTGAGAGGGTCCTTGGAAATTCCCTACTGCACAGCCACTTACATGGAACAGGAGCCTCATAGGCAGACATCACTATTCTAAGTTTTCAAAACAGCATTTTCTATCTTGAAACCTGAGACTGACCTATCTGTCTTTACCTCTTGCCCCTGAATCCAAACTCTGACAATCTTTTCACCACATTTTCTACACTATCTTATCACTGCTCCCAGCATTAACTCAGAAACCCCCGCCTCCTGTCTCACCTGCCTGGCCTCCAACCCCCTCCCTTGCCCCTTCTCTCTGCCGGATGAGTCCTCCGCCACACACTTTCATAAAGCCCTGTGCCTCGCCACAAACAGGAAGAGCAACCCATGAAGAAAGAGGTGGGGTGTGGACTCTCAGGACCCTCTCAGCCCCTTTGTTCCCTGAAACCAGCAGCAGACTTTCCTTTTAAGCAAATCCCTCATTCTTTCCAAACACCACCTAAAGCAGCAGCATAGATCACATAAATTACACACAGAAGATCAAGGCCCCGCCCCGTGAGGCTCCTTCAACACCAATGTGAAGCCACTGCCCCACTGAGGAAGGCACGGCTTCTGCAATGCTTGGCCACAGATGACATGAAAGTGGATATTATGACACACAGCATTACCCATAGCTACTCCTTACTGCACAGAGCACAGTGTTTCTCGGGAAAAAAAAAAATAAATAAAACCACTGCTCTACTTAACAAGCCGTGAGAAAGATCACCAAGTCCTGAGCATTTCCTGCCTTCTCCCCGTCCCCGCCCACTGCATGTGGCAAAACAATTTCCTACCCTTCGAAGCAGCACCCAATGCACTAATTCCTTGACCTCTGCAGCTGGAAAGTCAGTGCTTTTGCCCAAACTCATGGTGTTTACCACCTTTTCCCACCCATTTATAACTTGAGGTAAAGAAGTACTACATATTTGGGTGACCAGCAAGAACACAGTGGAAGGAGAGTGAGATTTTCAACAAGCAGTACTCTGCTGTTACAGAACTATTCTAAGTGGTGCTACTTCAGAGTTGATCAGTTGTGTCCGACTCTTTGCGACCCCATGGAATGCATACACCAGGCTTCCCTGTCCTTCACCGTCTCCCGGAGTTTGCTCAAACTCATGTCCATTGAGTTGGTGATACCTTCTAACCAACCATCTCGTCTTCTGTCATCCCCTTCTCCTCCCACCTTCAATCTTTCCCAACATCAGGGTCTTTTCCAGTGAGTCAGCTCTTCCCAACAGGTAGCCAAAGTATTGGAGTTTCAGCTTCAGCATCAGTCCTTCCAATGAATATTCAGGGCTGATTTCCTTTAGGATGGACTTGTTTGATCTCCTCGCGGTCCAAGAGACTCTCAAGAGTCATCTCGAATACCACAGTTCAAAAGCATCAATTCTTCGGCACTCAGCTTCTTTATGGTTGAACTCTTCACATCCATACATGACTACTGGAAAAACCACAGCTTTGACTAGATGGACCTTTGCCAGCAAAGTAATGTTTCTGCTTTTTAACATGCTGTCTAGGTTGGTCATAGCTTTTCTTCCAAAGAGCAAGTGCCTTTTAATTTCATGGTTGCAGTCGCCATTTGCAGTGATTCTGGAGCCCAAAAAAATAAAGCCTGTCATTGTTTCCCCATTTAGTTGCCATGAAGTGATGGGATCTGATGTGATGATCTTTGTTTTTTGAATGCTAAATTTTAAGCCAGCTTTTTCACTCTCCTCTCTCATTTTCATCAAGGGACTCTTTAGTTCTTTGCTTTCTGCCACAAGGGTGATATCATCTGCATATCTGAGGTTATTGATATTTCTCCCAGCAATCTTAGCTTGTGTTTCATCCAGCCCAGCATTTTTCATAATGTGCACAGCATGTAAGTTAAGTAAGTAGGGTGACAATATACAGCATTGATGTACTCCTTTCCTGATTTGGAACCAGTTTGTTTTTCCATGTCTGGTTCTAATTTTTGCTTCTTGACCTGCATAAAGGTTTCACAGGATGCAGGTCAGGTGGTCTGGTACTCCCATCTCTTTCAGAATTTTCCACACAAATTTATTGTGATTCACACAGTCAAAGGCTTTAGCATAGTCAAGAAGCAGAAGCAGATGTTTTTCTGTAATTCTCTTGCTTTTTCTATGATCCAACAATCATAGGATGTTGGCAATTTGATCTCTGGTTCCTCTGCCTTTTCTAAATCCAGCTTAAACATCTGGAAGTTCTCGGCTCACACACTGTTGAAGCCTAGTTTGCAGGATTTTGAACATTCCTTTGCTAGCATGAGAAATGAGTGCAACTGTGCAAAATTTTCCAAATTTGCTGGCATACCGAGTGCAGCACTTTCACAGCATTATCTTTTAGGATTTGAAATAGCTCAGCTGGAATTCCATCACCTCCACTAGTTTTGTTTGCAGTGATGCTTCCTAAGGCCCACTTGACTTCGCACTCCATGAGGTCTGGCTCTAGGTGAGTGATCACACCATCACGGTTACATGGGTCATTAAGATCTTTCTTGTATAGTTCTGTGTACTCTTGCTCTTCTTAATCTCTTCTGCTTCTGTTAGGTCCATACCATTTCTGTCCTTTACTGTACTCATCTTTGTAAGAAATGATCCTTCTTTATTGCCAATTTTCTTGAAGAGATCTCTAGTCTTTCCCATTCCATTGTTTTCATCTATTTCTTTGCATTGTTCACTTAGGCTTTCTTGTCCCTCCTTGCTATTCTTCAGAACTCTGCATTCAGATGGATATATCTTTTTTCCTTTGCCTTTTGCTTCTCTTCTTTTCTCAGCTATGTGTAAGGCCTCCTCAGACAATCATTTTGCCTTTTTGCATTTNGTATTCCAAGGCCAAATTTACCAAATACTCCAGGTATCTCTTGACTTCCTACTTTTGCATTCAAGTTCCCTATAATGAAAAGGACATCTTTTGGGGGTGTTAATTCTAGAAGATCTTATAGGTCTTCATAGAACTGTTCAACTTTAGCTTCTTCAGCATTACTGGCTGGAGAACAGACTTGGATTACTATGATAATAAATGGTTTCTCTTGGAAACGAACAGAGATCATTACTTCATTTTTCAGACTGTACCCAAGTACTGCATTTCAGACTCTTTTGTTGACCAAGAGGGCTACTCCCTTTCTTTTAAGGGCTTCTTGCCCATGGTAGTAGATATAATGGTCATCTGAATTAAATTTGCCCATTCTGGACCATTTTAGTTCACCGAGTCCTAAAATGTCGATGTTTTCTCTTGCCATCTCCTGTTTAACCGCTTCCAATTTACCTTGATTCATGGACCTAATGCTCCAAGTTCCTGTGCATATTGCTCTTTACGGTGTCGGAGTTTACTTCCACCACCAGACACACCAGAAGCTGGGCGCTGTTCCCACTCGGGCTCCGTGTCCGCAGTCCTCCTGGAGCCACTTCTGCGCCCCTCTCCAGCAGCACACCGGGCACCTACCGGCCTGGGGAGCTCATCTTTCGGGGTCCTATCTTTCCACCTTTTCACACTGCTCATGGGGTTCTCCACTCCACCATCTTGATGTTTCCTGTTCTAAGTGAGCCATCCTCAAATTATCAAGATCCACAAGTCCATACTGATACAAACAAATACATGAATGAATAAATAAACTGAAGAGAAGACACAGTATCTCCTTCACAGAAGAATTCCAAACAATCTATGTGGCTATTTCAACTCTTGGTCTTAACTGAGGGCTGCGAGCCGTGACTTCCTTTCGGGGCACACAGTGTGGAAAGGGGAGACGGAGGTGGGGGTGGGGGGTCACTTCACGGTAGAGTCACCTGCCACACCCCAGCTCAGCCATGCCAAGACAACGTCATCAGCTGTAAATCATGTTGATGGTATGGACCCAAGTATCAGTGTAACCACCAGACAAATGTCAGCAGAGGCGCATGTGACAAGACGCCTAGCTGGTGCCCTTCAAGGTCAGCAGGCCCGAGGCAAGCCTGAGGAACCAGAGCACGGGCAGCAGGAGCCTGGAAGACCCGACAATTAAAGGCAGCAGGGTCACCTGAGTGAGATTCTGGAACAGGGAAAGGACATTTGGTAAGAACCAGGGAATCTGAATAAACTGTGGAGTTCAGTTGATAATAATGTGCCCACACTGACTCGTTAACTGTGGCAAACTCATCATCTGAGTACTGGAGGACGCTGAGTGCAGCGTGTTTAAGAACTGTCCGTGCTGTCTTCTCGACTTTTATTCCAAATCTGAAACTAAAAACGTCCATTAAAAAAAAATTCCTCTGCGCTGACGTCATCCTAGATCGATAGAGCAAACAATAAGAGAAAGGCTGGGGGACAGGGTCACAGACTGGGCTCCCAGGCTCTCCACTGTGAGCAGAACTCACGGTGCGGACGACGTCCGTGTGTGTTGCCACCGCTCATGTTCTCTAACTGGGAGCTTCCCAAAAGCAGTGATTCCCACAGATCTCCGCCTCAGGACTTCCTCATACTTCAGAAAACTAGCGAGGACCCAAGGAAGCTTGTATTTAGGTGAGTTTTATCTATCCACAATTACCACATTAGTAATTTTAGTTTATTTAAACATTAACAACAATAATCTCGTTACATGATAACACAAAGTACATATAACTGTAGTCTCCCCCCACCCAAAAAAATTTAGAGACAAGAGCGGCACTGCTTTTACATTTTAGCAAATGTCTTTAGTTTCCAGCTTAAGAGAGAAGAGCTGATTCTCGGGGCTCTGTGGGTGTCCAGCCTGGTGTGACGGCTTCACACAGCCGTGTGCTGAAAACAGTGGAGTATTTAAAAGCCTTTCCGGGCAATCAAGGCTCCAGGGGTTGCCGTGCTCCTGCTGGAAACTAGTTTTTCAAAGTCTGGATTTCACTTGAAAACAAGACTTTTTTTTGGCAATGAACATGTGTTAGCTATTCCCCTTGAAGACGTGGCTTGTCGCATTCATTCTTGAGAAAATGCCAAATCCCCAAGTCTGAACAACCAGAGTTGGGTCTGTCGACTGTTCATTCAAGTACAAATGGAAGCAGCAGCCGGTGGAGCTCACAACACAGTCACAGAAGTGCCCCTGGTGAGAGAGCAGCTGGCACACAGCAGGGGCAGGAGGATGTCCCTCTACTTCCCACTTCCGCACATGGACTGCTGGAGAGACGGGCTCAGGGTTTGCAGGACAGAAACTTTCTTTCCTCTGTTATCAGGGATGCTCTTAGTGAGCGCCTTGCGTTGTAGAATACAGAGACAACAAGGGCGGGCTAGAGCTGAGGCCATGGCTCACTACCACCTCTGCATCATCAGTGCAAATGTCAACACGGCGCAAAAGGCAAGTGACTATTTTGAAAACCGTTCTGATTCTGCAGACCCCCAAGAACCACAGAGAGCCCCTACTTAGAGGTGTGGATCTGCTGCACACTGTGAGCTCAGACAAAACCTTGCACAGGCAGCACTGGAAAACCGGGGTGGGGAGCCCCACACAGGCTTGTGTGTATATTGTGTGTATGTACGCGCATCTGGGCGCTGGGAAGCAGAGACAGTCTTACCTGTGTGAGATAGAAGACATGCGTGTGAGGGACCGTGAAGAGAGCATTGACGGCGCCGCGGAAGGTGTAGATCTGCTGGTGGGGGTCTCCCACAAAGATCTTCCCACAGGGCTGAGACAGAACGATGTTCATGATGGCTGCAATCCAAAGGGGCAAGTAAGCGCTCTGACACAAGGCCCACTCACACAGCAAAAAGAAACCAAATGGGAGACAGGAAAAGGACAAGAACACCTGCACACTGGATGGCAGGGTATCCTTCCCTGCAGGGTACATGCACACAGTCCAAGGAAACAATTTTCATTCATGTATTTATTTCTGGACATGCTGTGAGGCATGTGAGATCTTAGTTCCCGACTAGGGACTGAATCCGCGTCCCCTAGTGGAAGTACAGTGTCCTAACCATGAACCATCCACAAGTCCCAAAGAAACAAGCTTATAACAGACAAATGGTTTCTAATCCTATGAATGCAGATTATTTTTACTCCTGAATATGTGATTGTGTCTAAGAAATCATAAAGGCAAATATAAAATGACGCCAATTATCCTCTTTAATATAATAACTTGGGGCCTAAAGATGACCTACCAAGTCACACTATTTTCTATCAGCCACTAGGAAAAAAAATACATTGTTCACTCTGAATTGACTACCTTTTCCCTTCAGCATGAGTCTTTGTTCTAATAATGTGATGACCTAGGCTCAGCCAATATTTTAAGAATAACCCAATCAAATATTTAGAGGAAAATAAGTCTCCTCTGGGTGGAGGTGGGGGCAGAGATGTGGGGGACTGTTGAAAGCTGGAGTCAAAGAGTAAAGGATTTCAAAGTGACTAAGCATCAGACACCCCTCCTCCTACTATAGATAAGAACCACAGACTCACTGCACACACGTCCTCTGACACATGCGTGATGCAGTTTCTATGTGTTTGAGAGTACTGGTGTCCTGAATGCTTTATTACCTGGGGTGCAGTCCTGGGCCTCGTCCACAAAGATGGCGTCAAAAGAGGCCAGCAGGGGCTTGCTAAGCTGCCAGAGTTTCAAGTAGCCTAGAAGGGGCAAAAGAGTCAGAACATGGGATGAGGTGGGTCCACGTGCGGTCAGGGGTTAGGACAGGGCCATGTGTACCATCGTGCGTCATATGGTAAGCCTCTTCCTTGCACTCGCCCAGCTTCCGCATGTTGTCCCAAAGCCGGCTTGCTTCGAGGACTCCGTTCTAGAAAGCAAGTGACATGGTGACGCTGAAGTCAGGGCCCAGGAATAAGGGGTTCACGCGCACGTGCAGGGGTCAGAGCAAAGGCTCTATCACATGGTGAGTGGCGCCCCATCCCTGACCTACCCCGGCTGCATGAGGGCCTCATGACATCATCAGGTGCCCAGACGGCAAGCAGCCGGGGGCTGGACCACACCCAGCAGCAGAGCATCTCTCAGGGAGCACAGCATCCAATCAATCAGGAGAGGCTGGATGATTCCTCTAAATTTATAACCCACAATGACTATAATTCATAAGAAGAGTGGCCAGGGACTTTCCTAGCAGTCTGGAGATGAGGGCTCTGTGCTTCCACTACACGGGGCACATGCTAGATCCCTGGTCAGGGAACGAGGATCCCACATGCTGTGCAGTGGGAGTGAGAAAAAAAAGTGGCCAATGATTGAAAAGAATTGATAAAAATTAGAAGAGAGATACTTTATCCTTAGATCCTAGGATGAGCAGACCCCATGCTGAGCTCTGATAACCCTGGCAGGAGCCCTGTCAATGCAGTGCAGGCCAGGCTGAGGATCAGGGCAGAGGACCACACTTCACAGAAGACCCTGGACACCCTGCTGCCACACCGCCCTGTGGCCTCCCTCCGCCTCTGCCTCCTGCCAGCAGCTCTGAAGACACCGAAGGCTGGGACAACCCGACCCAGGTCACGCCCTCATCCTCCCAAGCCTTGACTCCAGGGAGACTGAGCTGCTCACCAGCTTTTCGCTCTGTTCAACCATGACTCGTTGCCCCTGGCTGTTCTTGCACCAGATAGGCACATGGTCGATTGTCAGCTCCTCGTCGGCTGAGGCGAAGAAGTTTTCCAGAGTCTTGCACACGAGCTTGGCCCTGATGAAGCCGCCCTTCCCTTCAGTGAGGACGGAGTTGACCATGAAGGGGGTTAACTTGAAGAGATTCAGTTTCTTTTTCAACTGGTACCTGCAACGCACGTCCCGAGGGCACAGGGTCAGCCTTCCTGGCCACACAGGATTTGTGTTCCCCCGGGCCTCGCCCCCTTCTCTTCAAATGACACCACCAGGTTGTGGGCAGTGGCTCCTTCAGGTGAGGAAACAAGCTGAGGGGCTGAATGAGGTTCTTGTAGGACCAGAAGGAGCTCCTCTAGGCTTTCAGAATTCAGATCTAATAACCGAGGAGACAAAGGGGCTCACAGCAGACACCACTCTTTCATGGTGTGGACCCAACTCCAGGAGGCCCTGGGGGGACTATGAACCTCCCTACAGCCTTCTCTTCCCATGGGGCGTGGCTCAGAGGCCCTGGAGCCTGGGTCTAGCACCCCTCAGCCCCATCCTCTCTCCTGGCGCTTCCGAGCAAAACCTGAACTGATCAACCAGGCTGGTGGTGCCTGGAACTTCAGACATGTCATCTGACCTGTGCCTCAACTTCAGAGACATGAGCATGCCTCCCTCAGTTAACAATGTATCTCTGTGGGGTAAAAGTATAAATCACTAAATCTTTCCTTATATTCCTTGCCCGTAAACGGAGATAAGGCACTATGTTTTCCCCTGTCACTGGTGCGCTGACTGCAATGTGAAAGCGGCACTGTGATGCTCACTTGCGCCCGATGTGACCATAGGCCATGGAGTGGAAGGTCTTGCAGATGACGTTGCTGGGGAAGACGAGCTCCGCCTGCTTGGCGATACTCTTGTTGAAAGTCACGTATAGAAACCTGCTCTGAGACCACTTCTCAGCGTACTTGACCAGTGTGGAGGTCTTCCCGGTGCCTGGAGACGCCAAGAGGAACGGAGGTCACCCTCTGACCAGGAAGAACTGCTCCAACGGCACTGTAATCAGAATCTTCCCATGCTTATCTTGCCACCGGCCCGGGACCCGACAGTGGCAAGTTCTCCAGTACAGATGAGAACTAAAAGCCATGCAGTGAAGGGATTAGCAGAGTTGAGAAAGAGCCACTGGGTTGGGGTCGCAGCCCCAGCTGCTCCAGCGAGGGGCCCACTGACTTCCTTGAGCTTCAGTCTGCTCCTCAACCGTGTGCACGGAACACACAGGGAGAAAAAGCAGTACGAGGAAGGGTCAGGCAAAAAGTGACCAGCTAGCACAATTAGCTGACCGAGGCAGAACACTGGACCACACCTCTGGGGATGCAGGTTAGAATTAGAAGGTAGAAGCTCTTCTAGGTTCACCCTACAGAAAGCCAACCCTACAGAAAGCCAGAACTCCTGACATTGTCTGAACAAGACAGCCACCCGTGTATGAGCAGACATGATGACACATAACAGGCTGGGTCAGTCCCACAAAATATGCGCCATCTGCCCCCAGGAACTCCAGGGTGGACACTCCCTGGAGTGGTAAGAAAACACAATTATTCCTTGACAACTGTTTTTTAGATGATTTAATTGCAGAAGCGGAGTAACAGATAATGGTAAGATATTTCAGCAGGTAGAGGGAAGGGGCAGGCATCGATGAGAGGCCTTCAGGAACGGCAGCCCCTTACCTGCAAACGCCATTATTTTCACCACCTGGAGAGGCTCCATCTTATGGCTTAGGATCAGCTGCTGTTCATGTGTCAGCTGGATGGTTGTTTTCTTTCTAATCATTACAGAAGAGAAATTAGGAAAAGCGCAAGGAACTGAAAAGATCGGGTGACAGACTACCAAAACCCAAACAGGAAACCAAATGGAATAAGTAAAATTTAATGAGAAAAAAAAAAGAAGGGACTTTCCTGGTGGCGCAGTGGATAAGAATCTAACTGCCAATGCAGGAGACACAAGTTCACTCCCTGGTCCCGGAAGATCCCACATGCNACTGTTGGAGGTAAGTAGCAGTGCAGGTAAATCCCTGGAGAGCACGTTCTGGGAGAGAGGCCTGGCTGCAGGGGCCAGAGGAGAGACTGGCACGTGCCCTCTGGGGAACAGGACGCAGCCGCGAGCGTGCACGCGGCCCCGGGACGGTGCAAGACCGAACGGCGCCTCCTGTCCCCGGAGCACGCTCCGGCCTCTCGGAGAAGCCGGGGCATGGGGCCCGCCCGGGGCCCGTTACCGGTTGCTGATGCTGATCCCCTTCTCCCGCATGGCGTAGAGCAGCACAGCGATGCAGTACAGGGTCTCGGTGACGTCTGGCACCGTCACGGTGGAGCTGGGCCGCCGCAGGCAGAAGAGCAGCTGCTGGATGTCGCTGACGCTGCTGGACAGGAGGACGATGGCCGCCACCAAGGCCCACACGTTGACGCCCTGAGAAGGGAGGCGGAGAGGGTGAGAGAAGAGACCCGAAACATAGTCGGTGAGAAGCACACGGGACGACAATGAGGAAAGTCAGGCTCAGGGTGCATGTGTCTCCTACAGACCCTCTGAAAGGAGGCCAACTTCCCAAAGGACAATTGGGAAACAACGGGAACGTCTCCTCTTACCCTGGATTCTTTCCTTCTCGTCACTTTTGGATCTGACTTCTTATATTAGGGACTTTATAAATGTTATAAATAACATGTTATAAATAAGACCCTGCACGGAGGTTATCCACACCCTCCCCACTCAGGTCAGTGTGAGCTCTCAGGTCCAGACACTCAAGTCCACAAGCTCACTTATGTGCCAAAAAGGGCAGGTAAAAAGAAAACAGCAGTCTTTACAGAGAAATCAAGGCTGACAATTCAATGGCATGAAAATGTTAATTTACTACTGGCCTTCCCTGGTGGCTCAGTGGTAAGGAATCCACTTGCCAATGCAGGAGACACGGGTCTGATCCCTGATCCAGAAAGATCCCATATGCCGCGGAGCAGCTAAGCCTGTGTGCCTCAATTGCTGAGCCTCTGCTCTGGAGCCTGTGAGCAGCAAGTATTTAAGCCCACTCGCCAGAGAGCCTGTGTGCCACAAGAGAAGTCACTGGAATGAGAGGGCTGAGCATCACAACTGGAGAGTAGTCCCCGCTTGCTGCAACTAAAGAAAAGCCCGTCAGTAATGAAGACCCAGCACAGCCTAAAAAAATAAAATTTTAAAAAAGAAATGCTAGTTTACTACTTACTTTACATTACGATTATTTAATAACTTATTAATGGAACTTCCCTGGTGGTCCAGTGGCTAAGACTCTGCACTCCCAATGGCAGAGGCCTGGGGTTGGTTCCTGATCAGGGAACTATATCGTCATGACACAGCTAAGAGTTCACAAACCACAACTAAAGATCCCACATATTGCAACTAAGACCCCATGCAGCCAAATAAATTTAGAAAGCCTTTAAAAAAAAGATAAGTAGACTTTTAAAAAACATTTATTAAATACTAAGTTTAATAAATAGCAAATAAATTATTGCAAGTGTATGATTAGGGACACAGTATGCTCCATTTATTAATGTCTGAGAAAACATTCACTAACATGGAAATATAAAAAATAGTCAGATAACCACTATTCTTAACTCCTTGCAAGTCTCCCTGTTAAAAATACATCCACAAAAGGAAAGTTCTGCACATTTCTCACTATAACTGTCTTGTGAAACAAACCTCACTCCACTATCGATAGCCACTTCACTAAAGGCAGAGAAATGCACAGGGCTAGATTTCCAACCCTCCACTGGTGCAGAATGAGGCTAGGGTTGCACGCGGTTTCCAAGAGAACATTTAAGAAGAACACTTGATCTAGATGACAATTCCAGAAGATGGATTCAGGACACTCAGGACTATTCCCAGCATCTCATTAACTCACCATATGTCAGTACAAAGCCCATCATTTCTCCGGGCTTCCCTTGTGGCTCAGCTGGTAAAGAATCCAACTGCAATGCATGAGATCTGGGTTCAATCCCTAGGTTGGGAAGACGCCCTGGAGAAGGGAAACGCTACTCCAATACTCTGGCCTGGAGAATTCCATGGACTGTGTAGTCCATGGGGTCGCAAAGAGTCGGACCCGACTGAGCAACTTTCACTTTCAGAAAACAACAAGTTGTCACCAATACAATGGGCTGGCTTATAAAGAAACTCTTACAAAGTGTTTGGAGGCTAGGTGACCATCCTCTGTTGAAACTGCTCAACAGAACAGAAAACTGGATGAAATGCTTTTAAAAATTCCTTCCAAATTAAATAATCTGTGGCCATTTATTTCTCTATGGAACCAATGACAAAGATTAGAGATTTACGGAAAAAATTTAAAATAAATCTAAAACAACCTTCAGCCACACCTGACCACCAAGACATTTTCTTCCAAAGAGGAAAGGCGACGCCTCCCCAGCCCTCCCCACAGCCTCTTCACGTACAGCAGGGGCAGCATAGAGGTCAGGGAGGTGTTGGCGCACGCAGGCCTCTGCCTCGGGGAGGAGGAGGTGATCCCTCAGACTCCACAGCGCCTGTCCAGGGTCCACACTCGGGGAGCACTTCGTGGTGGCTGTGTAGCTGTTAAGACATTCACAGCAGTGTCCGTGGGAAAATGATCCATTAAGTGCTGATCTCTCAGAAAGGATTTCAGAAACCACTTCCTCCCACAGGACGGTGACTTACCGGATGAGGTTCAGCACGCACAGGTCCGACTCCTTCTCTATGCCGTAGCTCGACAGGATGCCATCCACCTTGCTGACGGCTTGCTCTTCATTCATCAGGTATCGGTGATACAGCTTTTTCCAAGGAATGAACTAGATAGTTTAAGAAATCCAAAACGACATGCAGGCAATGGCTGTTAGAGAGCAGACCAGGCTACAGACATTGCTTAGAAAACAACTATAGCTCACAACTCAAAAGCTGGACAAAAGGGCAGAAACATTACACAAATTCTAGTTGAAAACGAGGAGAAGGTGAGTCTCAGTTTCTTGGTTCCAACACCAACTTGTTACAGAATCTGGGGAGAGCTAGAGCTTCAGCTTTCCTGTCTGAAACAGAGTCTAGTGCCTGTGGAGAGACTAACGACTCAGTTTCATCTAGGACTAAACAACATGAGAGCTGCAGCTGTACTAATATTAAACAGACTTTCAGTCAAAAATTTTAGAACAAAGAAGATTATATGAGGATAAAAGGGTCAATTCACCAAAGAGATATAGTAATTATAAATACATATGTACCAAATATCAAAGTCCTAAATCTAGGAAGCACATATGGACAGAGCTAAAGAGAGAAACAGACAACAGGAGACTTTGATGCTCCACTTTCAAGAACGGATAGCACAAACACCACTAGTCCAACTGAACCTAACTGACACATAAAGAACAGTCCACCCAGCAACAAACACAATCTTCTCAAGTACACATAGAACATTTTCCAGGACAGGTCATGTATGAGGCCAGGAAATAAGTCTTAATCCATTTTAAAAGACTGAAATTATAGAAGGCATGTTTTTCAGTCACTACAGCCTAAAACTAGAAATTAGTAGCAGAAAGAAAACTGGAAAACCCACAAATACGAGAAAATTAAACAACACATTTTTAAAGCAACCAATGGGTCAAAAAGGAAATCACAAAGAAATTAGAAAACACTCTAAGACAAATAAAAACACAGGTACCAAAATGTATGGGATGAAATGCCAGCAATGCTGAGTTAAGTTTATAGCTATAAAAATTACATTAAAAAAGAAAGATCACAAATCAACAACCTAAATTTACACCTAAACAAACTAAATCCAAAACCAGCAGAAGGAAGGAAATACAAGAGACTATAGAGGAGAAATAAATGAAATAAAGATTAGAAAAATAGCGGGGGGGAATCAATAAAACTAATAAGAGTTTTTTTAAAAAGATCAACAAAATTGACAACCATAAGATACATTATGGAAAAAAGGGAAGATTTAAATAACCAAAATCAGAAATGAAGGAGGAATGTTACAACTGATGTCACAGAAATAAGAAAAGCTATAAGAGTACTTCAAATAATTGCAGGTCAGCCAACCAGATACTCTAGAAGAAATGAATAAATCCCTAGGAACACACAACCTACCAAGACCGAATTATGGAGAAACAGAAAACCTTAACAGATCAATAATGAGCCCTCCAGGCTCCTCCATCCATGGGATTTTCCAGGCAAGAATACTGGACTGCATTGCCATTTCCTGGTCCAGGGGAATCTTCCCGACCCAGGGATTGAACCTGGGTCTCCTGCATTGCAGACCAGCTTTTTACCATCTGAGCCACCAGGGAAGCCCAATGAGTAAGGAGACTGGATCAGTAATCAAGTCTCCCAAAAAGGAAGCATCCAGGACCAGATTGCTTCACTGAAAAATTCTACTGAACATTTAAAGAAGTAGTATCAATCCCCCTCAAATTCTTCAAAATAACTGAAGAGGAGGAAGCACTCCAGACTTATTCTGAGGCCAGCATAGCTTTATACCAAAGGTAGACAAAGATACCACAAGAAATAAAAAGAAAATGAGAGCTGTGACAAGGTCCCTGAAAGTAACACCATCATGTCACTGCTGGTGATGATAAAAAGAGCATTGTTCTAACATTTCAAGACACAAGAATAAGCTGGGATATCTTCCCAAAATCTTCTCAAGCAGAATGGCAGGAACCCTCACTTATCCCCATTTCCCACCAGAGACCTTAATCAAGTGCCCAGAAATACTAACCCCCAAAAAAGTTCACAACTAAAAACAGATATTTGTCTGAAAGCAGGAGACAAGACCCCCAAGCAAAATATGGAGCAAGAGCGATGAGAAATTTCCTCCAAAATCCTTTGGGCTTGGAAGAGAAATGTACTAACTCTTAACATATCCATCTTGCCCTCCATCTCCAAGGTTTTCAACTTCTCACTCGGTAAAGAATCTGCCTGCAATGCGGGAGACCTGGGTTTGATCCCTGGGTTGGGAAGATCCCTTGGAAGAGAGCATGGCAACCCACTCCAGTATCCTTGCCTGGAGAATCCCATGGACAGAGGATCCTGGTGGGTATAGTCCATGGGGTCAAAAAGAGCTGGACGCAACTGAGTGACTAAGTACACACATTTGAAGAATGGGTTAAACTCTCTACCTCTGGCTTATTCCCAACAGCTGGTCTAAAGGACACACTAGCTAAGCAGAACATTCTCCTAGCCCTCAGCCTTCCTGGAGACCTGAACCTGGGAGGTCTAATGACACAACAAAGGGAAGCACAGGCTGTGGGCTAACGGTACCAGAAAATCCTTTCTGAGAGCATGGGTTGCCCCTGTGTCATTCTCAGAGGGTATTCCTGTGACAACATGAAACACTCATTTAGCAATCACCTCCTATTAATATATGTAAACTATTGTGAGACACAGTGGAACACAGAGTGGAGACTGCACAAACAGGACAATGAGCCCTCCAGCAATGCTCTAATGTTAAATGGAGGAGGAAGGCTCTCTAAGATCATAGCAGAACATCACAGGCTTGAACAGAGGTATAAATCGCTATAATAGTGTAAGGAAGAGACAGAGAGAGGGTGACTTCCGAGGGATGGAAGAGAAAAGAGGAGTTACTTGGAGTGCAGCCTGGAAGAGGTGAGATGTCAACAGAGATATGAGGGACTCTTTGGGCTGCTCGGCTGTGGGGTACAGATTAGATCAACACAAGGGAAGTACCACACAGTCCACAGCTGGGAGCAGCACACCATGTGCTGTGGACAGAATACCAGGGTGGACTGGAGAAAAGTCAGCGGTGAGCCTGGAATAAATAATAAGGTGGGACACACACGGACGGTCTCAGGTGCCTCCAGGGGTTGGGATTTGACTCTAGAGGACAACGGACACTAACATTTCTGAAGAAACGCCACCGTCAGGAGGACGCGTTAAGCGAGGCGAGTCCGTGAAGACTTAGAGCAAACATCAGAGAACGAAGAGCACGTTCCATACCAGCGGGTCACGGATGACCTCCCTCCAGAGGTGGCACACCAAGCTCAGGCTCCAGTAGAGGTCTTCCATGGGCAGGAAAGCAAAGATGTGCCTCAGGACCTCGCTGGGCAGGCTGCAGATGTGGCTCGGGGGCTCCTGGCTGGGCAAGGTCCCAAGGAGCCCGTAGTGAGAGTCGGGCACGGGGTCCAGGCCAATGTCCTCCACCTCCTGGCTGGGTTCTTCAGGCTGCATGCTGAGCTGCCCCACCCCGACCTCTGCTTCCGGCCTGGCTTCCCTGGGCTGTATGCACGATGGGGACGAGTGACGCCATGGGGTCTTCTTGGACACCCCATCCCACGGACTGGTCCCTGGGGCTGGATTCCTCTCGTCCTCTAAAGACCGAGACCGCTTCCTTGCAGGCAAAGCGGACCCTGACGAGTGCAGCCTGGCTTCTCCGTCTCCCCCCGGAGGCAGGGCACAGGGGCTTCCTGCCGCGAAGATCATTTCATCCTCTGAGTCCTTAGAGCTGTCCTGGCCCACAGAATTGCTTTTGGCCATGTCATTGGTGCACCGCTGCTGGCCAGCGAGGAAGAAGTCAAGGCTGTATCTCAGGCATCCTCGACCTAGACAGAGAACCCACAAAGAACACACGAGAAATGAGGAATGACTGATGACCCTTCGCTGACCTGAATGAGACAAACTAATTTTCAATTATCTATTTTAATACGGGAAAGAGACAAGGATGTATTTATTGGTCTACTGATTACACATAAAGCTTAATACAAGAAATATCTATATCAGGTTCTATCATATGGTCAGACTATTGCAACAGGACTGTAAGATCACAGTAACAACATTTACAAATGCTAAGATACTCAAAGGCCACATACACTATAGATTCTGAAACGCAAGGTATTTGGGGGAAGACATACCCCTGGTTCCTCTTTTGGTTCTGGGTCTAGGATAGAGACCATGGTTCGGATCTCTGCTTGTCCATATTTGACCAAAGGACTGGGATGCAGCCAAGTGACTCTGAGCGAGATGTTGGCACTCAATGGCTGTAAGATGCTTCCGCTTAAATGGTCTCACTGTTTTGTAGCAAAGGGCAGAAGAAATGGGACTCTTGTTAGTTGTCACAAATTCTACAAGCTAGTCAGCAAATTAAACTTAGTTTTTAGGAATACAGGGACTGTGGACCACCTGAGCCAGCCCTTTCCATCTTCTCTACTTTCCCATCAATTTTCAGTCATCTCATAGTTTCTTAGCAGCTCTTCCTCTAGAATCCTAAAATAACCTTCTTTTTCACCTATCATGCTTTCTAGAAGCCCTGATCATGAAATGCTCATCTGAGAAGTGGCCATTATTGCCCAAATGGAGATCTGTCATCTTTTGCCGACTTCACTCAGGCCCTTTATATTCCCACATTAACCATAAATAATTAAGAGCTGGCTGTAGCTTTTTAAAAATAAACTCACACATTTGTCCCCTGAATATACCAGCTTCCTCAAATCGCAGAAGCAGAAGGCACTAAGGAGACAGTCACTGCAGGTTCCCCAAGGAGCAGCTCACCCTTGTGCACCTCCGCCCACCCCCGGGTGCACCCCCGACCCCCCGAGCACCTCAACGCTCGGCACTAGTTTAAGAGGATGGCAGCAAGGCCCCCGAGAGGAAAAGACAGTCGAGACCACTCTTCAGCATCTTCATGGGAGGAAGTTTCATATTCCCCCTCAGCAACACAGCAGCAACTGTGCCCAGATTTCTCTCTTAGGAGTACTGACATATTTATATGAGGCATTTTCTGCCAGGTAATTCTTTTCCATATTTAGCTGATGCTCTTCCTGTTTCTGCATATTATTGCATTTATGATCTAACCCCTCCAATGTCATTAAATACAATAGCTACACTACTGTAAAACAAAAGTTACATTAAAAAAAAAAAAGGTGAGAGAGAGGAAAAGAACACATGCAAGAGAATTAAAGTGACCCTTTACAGATGGCCAACAGAAATCACTTCCTGCCAGTACCACACTTTCACAGGTCCTAAAAATATTCTAGAGTAAACTGTAATATCATGTTAGAATTTCACTCAACATTTCCTGTAACCCTGAAAATATCTAAAACCAAGGCACTAATATGTGTATCTGGTATAATTTATATTATTAATTAATAACCCACCCCCCTCAGCCCATAGCTTCTTCAGAAACGATGCTTCAAAATTTCAATTTATTTTTTGAAGGTTTAACAGAAGTTTTTAAAAAACTTCATGGATATTTCAAGACTTTTAGAAAATTATTTCTCCACACAAAAACAGCTCTACAAGGCCCTCTGAAAGTATGCTAGAGAGACTTTTTAACTGCCTGAATTCAGAGTTAAAATGCCGCTGGAGGACCCCAGTCACTTAGCTTCTTGAAGGCTCAGGAGCGCTATAATGATTAAATGAGAAAACACACCCCAAAAGATTTGTCAAACTATAAAGCCCGACACAAATTTACCCATCTGCTTATTCTCTTGAACAAAGCTTAGATGTGATTGCATAAAACATTGAAATAACTCTCAAATTATAAAGACAGTACCTAATGGCAAGACATGAAGTATGTCAGCAGTCCAGTTACAGCCTGTTCTGTATTACTGAAAACACCTTCTACAAAGCCAAGTCATATGTTTTAATCTCTATTATGATCAGAAAATATCCCTTCCACTGTAATGGTTTTATAAATTTCATTATTTTGTTGTGGAACATATTCCTCTACACTAAAAACCAAGTCTTATTCATACTCACAGGGGAAAGGGAAAAAAAGTTCAGTTATTCTATAATAAAAAAATAAAGAATAAATTTAAAGTTTTCTATATTGAAAAAAAATAAGCTTAAAGTCTGATTATTCTCTTTTAAAAAGTAAGACATGAAAGTTTACCTCTCCTGCTCAGAATCTTTCATGTCACTAAGCTGATCAACCACAGATCAACACTAACATGACCCGTGGCTGGATGAATCTGAGGCTACGGGACTCGGAGGTCCCTGTCCATAGGGTAGACTCTTAGGACCTGAGCTCTCTGGAATTCTGGTGCCATGGAGGGTCCTGGAAGGAATCCCCTGCAGGTACCTTGGGAAGACTACACTGACGAACCCTGGCCCCTAGTTCAGGTGCTCCAAACTCACTCGGTTCAACTACAGGAGCAGCTGCAGAATTCCAGCCAATAAACCCACCAACCCTTTAGATCCCAGATACGTGACTCATCTCGGCTTTCTCCTCCAACATGCCCAACTGTTTCAGAGCTGGCAAATCCAATGTCCAGAATTAGAACTGGAGACAGCTGAGGAAAGCTACCAATAGTCGGGAGAATGTCTTATTTAAAGAAGGTGAAGGTCTATAGGTAAACTGGCCTGGAGAGAAAGTTTTCAAAGATAAAATCAAAAAGGAGTAAGATTACCAACGTCAATCCCTCAAATTCACATGACCCAGGGCCTTGGTGCCAGCACAGACCTGCATGAGTATTCTGCTTCCAGCCTTCGGGTACAGCCCAGAGCATTCCTGCATGAAGCCATCACTGGCGCAGAGGTGCCTAGGCGGGGCTGTCTGGCCTCTAGGCAGCAGCAGTGCTGCCTGCCCTGTCCATCTGGAATGGTCCCCATGGCCCTGACCGTGCACCTGGGAGGCAGAGGTGGCGCTTTCACTGCTGACTTCCTTCTCTGACTTCAGTGAGAGATCAGAAACCAAGACCGTTTTTCCTGCTTCTCGGGTCTCTGTGCTTCACTGTGTGGGAGCCAGGGCCCCTGCCACCGTCTTGGGAGTTAGCAAGGCGTCTAAGTCAGAGGCCGTGTGATGCGCTCAGATCTGGAGCGGGGAGGCCTCCTCCACGCGATCACTCACAGTCGACTCACAACGAGGATCCTGAGGAGCTGACACTCGGAGTTCACACCACAACCACGCGGTCCCAACCAGACAGATGGAAGCACCTAGCAATACCCACAGGGAGGCTGACACAGCCCATCAGCTCAGAATTACACGTGGACCATGCCATGATGAGCTTCTTAAAAGATGCTATGTTTTAACAGCATCAGTGTTCTTGTGAAATTATTTAAAATTACTATAGTAAAATTCTAACCAGCTTCTAGCCTTGTTAATATATTTTTAAATCAGCAGCTTAAACCTAACTTTATCAAAATAAGGATGCTCAAATGCTACCCCTTCCTCCCTTGGGTCCCCAGACCTCGTGAGGTCCCCTCCTCCAAACAGCAGGTGTTCTCTGCAAGGCTCTCCAAGGGCACTTACTAGAAGATGCTCGTGATTCTTCAGGAAGCAGCTAAAGTGCACCGTGATGAACGTGCACTGTTAAGAGGGATGGAAGGACATGACACTTGCTGGTGGGCTTTCCAAACTCTGCGAGGCCCCAGAAGGGTCCAGCAGAATCTTCTCTAGGCGGCAGTGGGCACTTATGCCTCTAGAGCTGACCACAGTGTCATATCCCTTATGTCATGACAGAAAACCACTGGGAAAACAGGAAAACCATTTCTCAAACAAGATTTTGCCCATCCCATGCTGCTTTTCCTGTGATGGCTCTCTTACAGTGAGACGCCTCATAGATCCTCCATTGCTGAGGCCCTATTTCTAGGGTCACCCCCACCACCACCCCACCCTGCTTGGCAGACCACTGGCACTGCAGGTGTGGGTCCCAGTCCTTGTGTCTGACTCCCAAGTGGTGAGTACCTGGAGCCCTCTGCCAATCACTGTATTCTTCACCCTGATGACTGTCATCACCCCACGGCCCCCTCAAGTCAAGCGCACAGCGGAAGACTAGATTCTCCTCAGCCCTCTGGAATGATCATTACTATACTGATCATCACTAAACCTGTACAAGACACCCCCAGCCCTGAGAAGGCAGGGAACACGCCCCCTCGACTTCATCCTCAAAGCACTCAGCTTGACACTCTGCAAATCTGAGCTACTCCAACGCTGACTGAACAAGAAGTGCATGCTCAGATGCCTCAATTCTGCTGGAATCTGCCTGGCTTCATTTTCTCATCCTCCCGATTGCAAGACATTTTATAAGACAAGTTGCCCAAAGCGGAACAGGGTGCTCCCCGTTTCGCGGTGAAGATGGCCCGTCCCCTCCCTCCTCGGCACTCGGCTGGTCCACGCCTCCCCGTTGTGCCGGGAGCTGGGGCCCCAGGGAACATGCGTGGAGGAATGTGCACCTCTCCCAAGCCCGGCCCGTAAAGCCTATCCTGCCCCTTCCTCCGCGCTCTAGTCCCGTCCAGGGAACAGGAAGGTGACCCCAGGGAAACCTGGAGGCCACACATTCAAAAAGGAAGACCCTCCAACAGCCTGGGTCCTTGGATTACTGCTTTAAAGAGCACCAGTACTTACCGGTGGCTCAGTTGGTAAAGAATCTGCCTACAATGCACAAGACCTAAGCTCAATCCCTGGGTCGGGAAGATTCCCTGGAGAAGGAAATGGCAACCCACTCCAGTACTCTTGCCTGGGAAATCCCACGGACAGAGAAGCCTAGTGGACTACAGGCCATGGGGTTGCAAAGAGTCAGATTTGACTTAGGGACTAAACCACCAGAATCCACCCCCACAACACTCACACACACACACACACACACCCTACAGTCACCTGAAACTGCTACAGGACAGAGAAACAAGCTGGAGTCCTGAGGTCACTGTGTGTTTGGATCTGTTTGTTATTGAGGTCATGCCCACCCTAACCATTCCAGGGTCACCTGAAATTGACACCAAGTCACTTTTTTGCATTCCTAACCTTCATTAATCAGAATTTATATCAAACAGGCCTCCAAGATGTGCAGGTTACAGACCTAAATGGACACGCTGAAGATAATAAGTGCCTACAACTCCTGGAGAAAAAGATTATTAAATAAAAATGTGAAAAAGGAAAATCAAGGTAACTCTCTGGCACAGGGGCCTGATGAGAGCGACAGCTCCTAACAAGAGGTGCACTGGGAGGTTTCATCAATCAAGAGAAACCCAACCTCATCCCGTTCGCTGCCACAAGCCTCTTGCCCTTCTCAGAGAGGCTCCGTGCAGGTCGAGCAGACACCCTCCTGTTTCTGGCGAGACAGAGGAGGTG